CACAAAATATTATTCTGCGTAAAATGGGGCAACTAAACCTTTGATACTGTACTGATAATCAGCTCAGGTTTTACAGATCAGATCACAGTAACACTTCAGCTTGTCTTTTCAGTGATTCACCATCGCCTGTCATCAGAAGCTAAAGCAGTGAGCGTCCTTATTGGTAAGAAAAGTGCTGCAGTTCAATTCCAGCTGGAGGCTTTAAAATACACCCCTTCATCTTCTGTTCCTATCTACTTTTTTTTTCTTTTTTTTAACCAGTCCTGCTTGTCTCTCAACTGCTTTCACTGTTCAGAGTTGCATTTGCTAATGTACCTGAATTTCTATCAGCAAAATTACCAGAAGAGGCTTTTTGATGTGCCGCCTCTTAGCCAGATAATTTTGGGCAGAATGGATAATGTATGAATGACATAACAAATTGTGATTTTCGAAGTGAAACAGTCATTGGAGCCGAGCCCTTATCATGCATACACAAGTGCAAAGCTACTCCTGAAAAGAGACTCTTGCAGAGAGGAGCTCTCGATGTACTTGAAAGCACATGTTAATATAATATCAATGCAATTTAGAGAAGCATCCCATTGATGTTGTTGAAAAATTTTGTATCTCACATTATTTATTTAAAAAGAGACAGAAGTTCGTGCCAATACATATCATGGGGATCATCAGCGATGGGAAATTAAAGTTAGAAAGGTATTTTCTTGGTCCAATTGACGACATGGGATACAAATGCTTTTGAGTTTCATGTAAGAGTGACTATCTTTAAAGCAGAAACTTAACCAAAACACATGTACAGCGTCATCATTCATTTTGATCATATAAAGGCTGAGAGTTATGAATAAATTTGCATAATTAAGGGAATGGGAAGTTCACTGGCAGGTGTGATGACCCTACTGCTCGCCTGTTTGCTGGTTGTTGTGTGGTCTTGTTTTCAGGAACCAGTGGGTGTGGTTGGTGGAGGCTTGGTCTAATTGCAGATTAAGAACACCTGGGTCCGGTGTTGTCATGACGACTATATCAGCAGGCTCGTTAGTGTCTTCAGCAGGAGTTAGGAAGGAAAAGCTGGGTGCTCCTCGGTTTAGATGTATTTTGTAAGGTTACTTTTGAAGAACCTTATTTACTTTAACGTAACTGTCTAATTTAATTATTGGTTGTAATAAATTTACTTTCTGGTTGTCAAACTACTCTGTTCCTCTACTGTTGTTTGTCAATGGCTTAGAGCCTGTTGTGACACAGGTGAACACAAAGTAACTATTTTTTAGGAGCTCCACTTCTTTGCATGTATTTCTAGGATGACCAAATATTAAGTTGAGTTAGCAATTCTGATATGACAATCATCAAAATCTGGCGACCAACTGGTGACATCATTAAGACTGTGTTTTGTGAAGTCTTGGCTACCATGATGCTAGCTGCCTCTCAAGAAAATATTCCCTTTGTTACATAATTACTTTAAGTCAAATGCAGACATCATCATGCTAAATGCTTATAATCACTATTCAGAATTAAGGCTGGTGCTAAAGTAGTATTTTTAAACCAGTTTCCATATGGTAGGTCTGGGTATTTAACCTTATTTTGTAACTAACTAACTAACTAACTACACATGTGCTGTGGACATCTGTACAATGGATATAGAAAGACTGAGGGTAACAACTTTGTATGCATCCGGTGTCATGATCAGTTCTTAAAAATGTTCAATCTAGCACAAATATAAACAACACTGTGAAACAGGGAGTCCCAGAAAACAGCTCAATGCTTGTAAAGCCGTTCCAGCCAAGGTCAACATGGGAACGCTATCACCCAAGAACCATGTGAAGCTAACACCACACATCTGCTATAACCTTAAAGTTGGTTGTTGCTGGTTTCAAACATCATCTATTTATTTGTTATAATGGCAACTCAAGTAGACTTATCCTTGCTTTAACGGTGTTCTTTTGCCTAGTAAAAAACAACAACAAGAAAATAAGGTTACTATTAATCCATTTTGACATCATTTCATTCCCTGATCAAAATATGATGGTTGCTACTCCTGTAAAAAGAATGGAATTTGATGGGGCCGCTGTGGCTCAGAGGTTGAGTTAGTCACCCTCTAGCACTCTTGCTTTTTGTGGTTTGATCACCAGCTCCTTCGTTCCACATGTCAAGTTATTCCTGGTCAATATACTGAAACTCAAATAGCTCCCAAAGGCTCAGGCTACAGAGTATGAACATGCATAAATAAACTGATCAAGAGCAAGTGGCCCTGCCTGGAACTATGTTTGTATCTAACTGTGAATGTCAATGTAGAACCTTCAACCACTCAAATCAGTGTTAAGTTTACACACCTAATGTCTTTCTGTGGCCAGTTAATCCTCCAGATGTTAAGATTAAATGTGAGCAGGCTGGTGCAGATGTGAGTGCACTGTAATTCAGATATCAAACTGACAGCTTGGCAGCTTTAGGTGCTCAACCAACTGTGCTGCTGTCACAGGTTCAGGCCTGGCTGCCTCCATGTAGCATACATGACTGACATACAGATTAAAGGAAAAAAATGTGAGCTGCTGCAAGAGAACAGATGAGATCTGTCTCAGATATGTCTCCTTAAGTGGGGGTTTAATTGTTGCGATGTAAGCATGTGTGAAAGACACCTCAAAATCGTCCGTGTCAAGGATTTAATTACTCATACGTTACACCCACTGAACTCTGCATCTCTGTGTTTCCTAGTGTACCTATACATGTATTTATATATATTACAAATGTTGCTGTTCTATACACTGCAGAATCACAGTTAAATATGCAGAGGACTCATCAGGATTTAATTGTTCACACTGTGACGCTCTCATCTTCAAGCTGATTTGACTCCACTGCAACACTGAAAAGTTGTTCGATGGGAATTCCATATGACAGCCTCATCTATTTGCTATAATGATCTTGATAAAGTCTGATGATCCAGAGGCTGTCATTTTAATCACAGTGTTTTCCTTTTTCAACCATTTAAGACTCTAAACACTTCAGTGATAAATTCACTAAATACATTGTTTATCTTTCGAGGGTTAGAAATGGCTGGCAGGAAAAATACATCAGTTATATTGATCCTAATGTGCACGCAGGAGATGTTCATTGCATGCCAATTTCGCAGTGGAGGACATTGCCATTCGCTATTGCATGTTACTGCAGACATTTAAAAGGGAAATAGACTTTGATAGATGCCCTTTTGGTTGAAGTCATATCATGCAACACTTAAGTTATTTCTGCTATGAGGAGAAGTGTAAAATGACACAAACTGACAGATTTACATAACCATCACGTTCAAAAACATCCACGACTCTATAAAGGTTCATCATACTGGTTAGCAAAAGGGTATTCTGCTGACTCCCCTTCCAGCTTATATTTTAGAGACTCAAATCTGTCTGTCTGTTTGTCTGTTGAAAGGCTGTTCAAAATAATCAGTTTTCTGATGCATCCCAATACAGACATGAATGATTTCTCACTCCTAATCCAAACCCAAAGTAAAAATCCCAACCACACAGGAGTGAAAAAAAGATCTAAATAAAACTTTCATTTGATTCAAAGCTTGGCCAACTTCTCTTTCTGTATCATCTCAAGCTTCCAAGTAGTCGGGAAACTTATTTACATTTCAACAAATGACAGTAACAAAGCAATATGCGAGAAAATAAAAAGCTTTATTGCTATTAGTATAACTTAATTATCAAATAGTTGCTAACTAATAAAGAACAATGTAGCAATCCATTTCACAGAGCTTCCAAATTGAAAGCTCTGTGAGTTTTGGTAGGACGTTAGAGTGTTTTAGAGTTAGAAATAAATTGATTTAATATCTTTTCAAAAATTCCACATCCATCATGTCTACAAGTGTCACTGTCTGTCTCGTCCATGCACATAATCCTCCTTATCTCTGTGGGTCTTCGGTCACACACACTCACACACATGCACTAAGCTCTACCTTGAGGGTGTGTGATGCATGCAGTCAGGCCTGATAAATGAAAGTGTCTAGGAAGAGGAATGGGTTGGTGCCTTGACCTCCCTTCTGGCATGGGCATCCCTCTCCAGACTGCCTTATCACCAGACAAATGGTCAAAATGGTACACATCACTCCCAAAAAAAGTGTGCTTCGGTAGAATCCATCCAAGTTTTTGGAACTATCAACCTTTAAAAAAAATTCGGATCATACACTACAGACATGCTGCCTGCCACGAGTTTTATATAGTTTACAGAGAACTTTCGAGAGATGGTCTCAACCTCCCTTTGGTGCTGCAGTTTTCTTTTGTTAACCAATCAAAGATGAGTTATAAGGAAAATAATAATCACTACTTCATGATTTCTTTGAGTTTGTTGGCTGCTTCGATCTCACTTTGACAAAATCCAAGACTGAAATGAACCCGAAGACAGTAATATACGAATTATCTTGAAAGTAAATCTACTATATGACATGATAGAAGAATTGATTAGATAGCCATAAGCCTCCTACTGAGCCTGTGTGCCCATACGGCTGTCTTTCTCATAACATTTCCTCTGACATTAAACTGTCCTCAAGGTATCAGCTGATTGAAGCTCGGTAAAGAGCAAGTAAAATGAATGCGAAAAGATAACGCAACTTTATCCTCAAGTGTCCTTTATGTATAATGTGGAGATAGTCTGCAGTATATATGTGAGTGGGCAAAAGGATAAGATTGTGGGTACAGTAAGAAAGAAAAAAGGAGATAATGAGAGAGGAAGGGATGATACAGCCAGCACTTTCTTCACCTTTTACATTTAATAATTCATCTCTCAAATGGATCAATGCAAAGACAGTTCAATGCAAAGTTGCTCACCTTTCAGCACTTTAACTAATTGAAGGGAGTATATGTGTGTTTCTTGTACGTGTGTGTGTATGTTGTGTTTATATAAAAGTGAAAATGAATAGGGTCACACATTTTCCAAAACAGTGACCCCATATTTTCAAGGACTCCTCCATCAAAGTCAAAATACCCAGATTGTCACATAAAAAATGGTCCTTCAGACAAAAATACAAATTTGGAAAGACTGCCTTGGTCTTCTACACCATGGTGAAAGTCATTCTTACATTACATCTCTCTCTCTCTCTTTCTCTAACTTATTATTGGTATTGCAGAAATTTTCCTAAAGTAAGACTTTGGTGAGGCTTTTCACATGTCACGCAAACAACACTGTCTGACCCACATTTTCTGTTTTTCCTTGTGTCTCAGGAGTGTCTCTTTGAAGATGCGTGTCTTCAGGTGAGTCAGCTGTTGTGGAGTCATTATTTTGGATTTGCTTTGCATGAGAAAAGAGTGAAAGAGCTGAGAACAAGGGGCATCGATGCAGAAGTCTCGTATCAGTCAGTCACAGACATAAAACTTAGCATGAAATCACAGAGAATGAAATTGTGTCTATTATTTTGAACAGACGTCCTTTTATTTGTATTGTTTTGTTGAGTGTGATTAAAAGTTTAGAGAAAGAAAAGCAAACCACAATTTGATATATTTTTAATTGTTGAAGCAATATGAATCACCATGGAAAACAATTGTCCTTTTAACTATGTATTATATTATTATTCATTGTCACCAGGCAAAAGTTTGCAGGCTAATATGTTTTCTTACTTCCCAAACATTGAGGGCCTAATCTACTAAGATCCTTAATAATTAGTGCTAAATTGCATGTGCAAACTAAAAAATGGCACATGCTATTAGTGGGGGTGTTGTGGGTGATCTACTATGACTGTGTGCACTATTGATAACAGGTGCAAAAGTGGTGCAGACTGCCCTATTTAAATGAGGATTTTGCGTGTGCTACCGACTGTTTGTGAGAGCAGAGTGGCCGTAAACGAAAAAATGTAGTTTAAGGCCATTGAGTTGGAGGTCTTGGGGGAGAAGGCAAATAAACACACTAGTAAACTCTAGTAGAGACTTCTCAGCATTGCTATAAGAGACACAATTTGATAGGCCATCTGTGAAGAGGTGAATACTGTCAGCAAAACCAAATGATCTGCCGTTTAAATAAAAAGAAGATGAACAAAAGGAAGAAAAAATGAAAAACTTTCCCTTGATAAAACCTCTGCTAACAAACCGGTGGGGGACCGGCAGAAATCAGCCCTTGGGTCACTTAGCACTTCAAAAAGGCATTGATATTACCATTACTCTAATATTGTTAATTCTGACAGTCCAAATATGTTGACACACACACACACACACACACAGAAGATTCTCTCTTTGTTTCATTGCACCTTTGCCTCCTTCTCGCAACTCAAACCACAGCCATTTGTGCGTAACGCTATGCCAGTTTGCACCTGCCATTCCAACGTGCTAAATATAGATGCAAAAACACCACAATCAGTATCAGGGTTTGAAAAATCACATTGCAGGTGCTACATGATACCACTCTCATCTCCTCCTCCCAGTATTTTGCACGTTCTGATAAAATACATGCATTCTGCATATTCATGAAGGGAAACACACTGAATCATGGTAATTCGCTCATTTGACCGACACAATCTATGGTTCACTTGGTAAGTAGATCAGCTTTGTTCACGCTATCGAGTTTGCAAATGTTTCTAAACCCGCAAACCTTTAGTAGATCAGGCTTTTAAGACTCGACCAAAAAAATCTCCAGGGCTGTTGATTTTTACTATAGTTTTTATAGATTTTACTCACAACTCAGTCCCAGCAAATTTGCAGCTGTATGCATGAAGTGGAGGAGTCAAGAGAAATTCAATAGTTGAAGAAAATCAGAGAGCTCAGTGATGGCTCATGGGTAGTGTGGGTCACCTAAAAAGCAGAAGGTCAGTATGTTTTTGATAGAGTTGAAAGTATTCATGAGGGTGATATTTAACCACTAACTGCACTGTATGAGTGTAAATGATTTGCCAAAGAGTTGCCTTCTCCAGCACAAAATTAGGCAACAATTCTAACAAAAAAAAAGACCAAAAAAAATAGCGTCTGTCAGGATGGCATGTAATGTCAAGGAAAAAAACAGGATTTCCTTCCACCCCCAAAGGAAGCTGAGCAAGAGACAACCCCCCTCTCTTCCAACCTTTGCACACACTGACACCACAGTCAGTCAGCAGAGCAGCAGACGACGTGTGAAGCAGTCATGAGTTTTACTGTTCCTTGTAAAATATGCTCTATAACATTCTGTTGTTAGTCATGTCCTCATAAAGCTCACTTTTACACCAATACAGTATGCATACTGCCGAAAGTTTTTACACAACCTCACACATTCTCACACCAATCAATACACTAAAATGTCACTGTGTTGGCTACCAATGACATTTCTTGGACCGCCTCATACAAAGGCTCATAAACCATAAATTTCCCCCCCCGAAGAACAATAGACTACGGGAGGACACACACCAGCACACACACATACACTAACACCTGTGCGCAAACATACCAAAGCTCAGGTCATGGCACGAACTAATAGGACAATAAGTCAATTTTAGTGATCATAGTACATTTTCTCAGAGTTATGAGGGGCAATAAAAAAATCCCTGTCACATGAGGTCAAAGTTCAGCTCATGTTGTTCTGAGGCTGCTAACACGCGCTTCACAGTGTTAACTTTAACGACTTTTCCTGAACAGATGAGCTTTTTAATTAGCTTATTTACAAAATCCATAAGACCAAGCTCTTCTCATATTTTAGACTCCATACAAAAACAAGGTCAGTTTACAGTTAAATGAATAGAGGCCATCCCTCATGTCTAAGAAACTAACACAGGAAAAGAAAGGGACCTTACTAATAAGTGACTGGCTTGAGTGTGCTGTAATGGCTTTGCCCTCCCTGTCCTCCCAGGGTACTAACTTATAGTGGTGGAATAAAGTTTTGATCCCACTCACTCATAAAAGGCCATTATTGTTGCATTTATGTTGTAGCGCTGTCTACATAGCTAATTATAAATAACAAAAGTCCTTCTTGACAAAGTAAATAAATCAGGATTTATAGGTGGCACCAAGGGTTGGCAATCAGAACTCGGGTTGGGAAGGTGAGAGAGAGGTTAGGGACACCCTTGTCTATTGTGGGTGGATGTGATCATTCATCCTCTGTATTGGTGTGATGTTTTGTGTTTCAATGTTTACCATAATAATTATTTTTGTTTGGTTTTAAAAAAAGGCACAGCAGGTAGTGCATGTACCTCACAGCAAGAAGGTCACCGGAATGATCCCGGTATGATGATGATGATGTGAAGTTTGCATGTTCTTCCTGTGCATGCGTGGGTTCTCTCCGGGCACTCCGGCTTCTTCCCACAGACCAAAACCATATTCTTTAAGTTAACTGGTGACTCTAAATTGTCCTTGGGTATGAGTGTGAGTATCACCGGGTTCTCTCTCTCTCTCTCTCTCTCTCTCTCTCTATGTAGCCCTGCAATTGACTGCCGACTGATTCAGGGTGTACCTCACCTCTCGCCCGATGTCAGCTGGGATAGGCTCCAGCCCACCCTCGACCCCGAAAGAGATAAGTGGTACAGAAAATGGATGGATGGATGAATGGATATTTTTTTTACTCTGTATCTTTTCAGGTCTCTTGTGTCCTACCACAGACCAGTATCCCATATTACAGACACATAAAACCAACCCCTAAAGAGTTAACTTGTAAAGTTGACAAAACTAAACTACAACACTGAAAATTAACTGAAGCTCAACTGAAATTGTAAAGAAAAAGTACAGTTTTTGTTTGTGCATTATACTTTGTGTTTTGATTTTGCACTGCTAACTTACCTGCACTCTCTACCTTGGATGACCTGGCTTAGTCAGTGCCATTGCATGACCTCTTGACTTCCTTGGGGCAGAAGGATCAATCAGTGTCAGAACCATTAATTAGCATACGTTTCCATTCGGGCACAGACCTACCTGATCAGGACTTCTGTTTGTCTGTCTGACAAGCTCCATGAATAACATTTTCTAATTCACCCTACAACAGAGGAAGAGTTCTGCACTAGTGCATTAAGAACTAAGACCCGGTTTTTCATAATCCCTTTAAGAATCAGGCCTTTGGTGTAAAAGACCGGTGAACCAGCAACTCAATAAATAAGGCTTTAACAAATATTTGTAGTGGTCACAGTCCAAACAACATGATTGATTCTCCCTCTAAATTATTTTGAATCTTTTCCAAAATCAGAGGGAGTATTTTTCTTTCTTTTTTTTTCCATTGTTGGCATCTTTTATGTAATCTACTAACCCATCAAGAAAGTTGGCATCCGTTCCACAGTGCCTCGCTGCACCGGGGCCTTAAATATTTGTCACAGTAGATATTTAAGCTTTTACTACACAACACAGTGTCACCAATATCTGTTGGAGGAATCATCAGTTAGTCTGTATTTGTAAATCTTACTCGAGCATTGGCTAAGAAGGAAATGTTGATCTTTTTTGGCAAGTTTCGAGTTTTGGCTGAGTTACTTCGGCAGTGACTTGGAAAGGGTTCCAGCATTTAGACTCAAGCGAAACATTAAAGGCGTGTGCTAATGCGTTAGCTCCTGGATTCAAATGCTTTCTATTTTCATTCATGAGACATTTAATCAGGCATTTACAAACAAACTGATACTTTTGATCTATAATACACAGAGATTAATATGTCACCCCTCCTGTGGATGCAAGTATTTATCTACCTTTATGTTCCTGGAGATGAAAGCAGGGGGGAGGAGAGTGGAAGAAAGGAGGAGAGGAGAGGAAATGTTATGCCTTGTCACGGATGATGTAATTCAGCCCCAGTTAGGCAACCCTGTGCTCTGTGAGAAATCTGGGAAATAGCACAACAAAAACCTTAACACGCATGCACAGATGCACTAACAGAGCCGTAAGGATGAGATGTAATTTTATTTCAAGATTCAAATCGGAAAGAGTCCAAATAAATCCAATAAAATATGTCCCACTCTATTACTCAGAGTGGAAGCAGAGAGGCCACATCGGCATTACAGGGCGTACACACAAAGGCTGAAATACAAATACAACACTACAGGCACACACACACACACACACACACACACACACACACACACACACACACACACACACACACACACACACACACACACACACACACACACACACACACACGCAGGGGATGACAGAATGGCCCTGGAGCTGTCATGGGAGAGTGGGCTGTCATTTGGAGAAGGGAGCCAAGGGACCAGGGAAAGGGTTAGAGTAAGAAAAAAGGTGAATGGCAGGCAGGGTAAAGAGCAAGAAATTTAAAACAAGTGATTGAACTGTACACATAAAACGGTATATTTTCATATTAAAATATATATGTATACTGTTTCGCTGGAACAATTTTTTCTTACACTTTATGGGAGTGGCATAGAGGGGAATCTGTTATTGTAGTTTAAGGAAGATCAAAAGGAAAAGGGTGACGGGGGAGCATGAGAGATCAAGTTGGGAACGAACGCACAATTGAGGTGGAAAGGGATGTCTCAGCACGACATATACCCACTGATATATTCACTTGAGGCTATTGGATATTCAGTTTGATGTATTAGTGTACCGCTGTGCCACAGAAGTTATATATTGACATCCTCAAGAGCGTGGAATGAAAAACTAATTGCTGACTGTCCCCAACAGGGAAACAATATAGGCTTTTTTGTCACAGAAAAGTAACTGAGAATCGATGTAGTGCTTCTCATGTTTCATAATACTGCATCCTTTTACCTCAACAACAATGCAGTGAAAAGGCTTTTTTACTGAGCTATGTAAACTTTAGTATATAAGAGGTTTAATTTATGAAAAGTCAGTATGTTTTTGCTTTATTTTTTCTGCCTCAATCAATCACCCCCTTTCTGCATTTTCCACTCACCATGTCCAAAAAAATCACAGCAGATAACTGCTCACAAATCTGGCTCTAATTTCAGGGCTCTATTTTTGTGCCTCGCCAGCTGCATGGTGCAGGTGCGGCGTAAGTCAGGTCCGCCGCACCGATAAGGCGTTCCCAAGCATAATAAGGTATTTTGGTGAGCGGCACAGCCCAGCTTAAGTATCCCCCCCTCCCTAACTCAGCTCCTCCCAGCGGCGTTAGTAGTAGAGAGGGAGTAGAGAAGACGTTGAGTGGGTTTAACACAGCCAAGACCTGTTTTCACCAATCACATCAGCTCCTCTCCTCACCTTTAAATCTGCCACCGGCGAGGCGTATTACAATTTTCATGCAGTAGTCGAAGAGATCAAGAGGCGCACCCGCCAGCGGGCACAAAAATAGAGCCCTTAGCCTTTACCTGTTTGATACCATGATATAATTAAAACAAATTTTAAAAAATAAATAAAAATGGATCAAATATTTGTTCAGTCATTGGTCATTAGGTGCCCAATAAAAACCACTGTCCTTGGTGCAGCAACCCTGGGATTCAACCCAGACCCTCTGCTCTTTCTCAGCACCCTAAACTCTGGCCTATCAAACCAGGCTAAAATACAAGAAATAGATTTAAAATGAACAACAAAATCAATGACAACACTAATAATAATTCAATAAAACTATTACTTTTTCCTGTGACACAATGAAAATAAAATTTTACAAAAATAAAGAACACTAATATCAATGCACTACTAATGGCAGATCAGTTGTCAACACATTGTTTTTATCCCAATGTATTTATTTATCTTTATTTTGAAAATATTTTTGCTCAGCTACTGCCCCTGCAAATTGTCAGCCAACATATCTCAGCAGTGCTGGGCTACACGATAACTTAAAAAAAAGTTACACACTCTGTGGATCATATTATGCATAAGTGTAAATCAAACTCTCAATTTGTCTTTAACTACGTGTAATTAAGCTTACATAGTTAACGGACTTCAAAGAGATTCATTGGGTTCATCCTGACAACTCAGTGAACTAATATTAATGGGCTACAGCTGTGAAAATCTGCTGCCTAAATTTGTCATTTCATCCAGGAGGACAGACAGTTGCCAGCTTCAGTTAAATTAAATGAGGAGGAAACGATCCTCGTGTTTGACACTGAATGTTGCCTGACTGGGAATATCACTTTGAGTCATCATGAAATTAATATCAGGACCAGCCACAGCTTAGACTTTACTTTTCAATAAATCCTGAACTTCATCATTAGTCCTGACTCTAAAAACTGGGAATTTAATTGCAGGTGGATATGGTCTGTGTAACCTAAAACTAAGTCTTGATCTAGTAACACAGAAATTTAAGAGCCTTTGCACTATTGCACTTTTTTTTTTTCATGCGCATGTTTTGCCTGTTTCTGTGGTTACACAACCTCTTAAAAACCCAAACTGCCATGAACTCGAATTACTTAAACTTGAAAGTGGTAACTCCAGGCTATCTGGTAACATTTTTAACAGTCTCCTGTTGTAGTGAAAGCGACATTAACCAGGGTCTGATAGGGTTCTTACCTTTTTATAGAGCACTGAGTTGCATATCTGTCAGTTTGAGAGAGCTGATCTTCAGCTGGAGTTGCAGAAATCAAAGGCCAGGGAGAAAAACTGCAAACTGCAAAAGCATGTCTCTGATCTCAAAATATGTGCTTGTCTGAACTGTCTGTGTCAGCTTCAGTGTGTTTCGGTATACAAAAGTAGTTATTGTATTGACAAAAGCATGCATGTGTCAACTACTGCATATTTTAGCCTATGGTAACGTAAGAATCTTTAATATACCAGCTGTGTTAAAATTGATTCTGATTGGTCTAAACCTACTAATAACAATAATCAAATCTCTGTTAGCAGAGGATTCCCAGGGACAACCTGATCCCTCACATCCTATCAGCGTCACATCCATCTGTTATTGGGAAAAGTGGAGCAACATCCTGTCCTGCAATTCACATAATGGCTACAGAGCTGGTGAGTGCTTACTAATATGACATGTGAGACTGACTGTCTCACATGGCAGGATGTTTCAAAAGGGAGAACTTCAAAAGAATTCAGAGAGGGATCAGACAAACATTGTGTGTTATCACATTCATGAGAGCCTAATCAGTTCACCAACACATATGAACCAGTAGGCATGCACTGTTGCCAAGGAGTAAACTCTATAAAATCGGCTGGATTAGTACTAGCCTTACATGATCACCGGTGGTGTGTTGTCTCATAGGCATTTCGGTCATTCAAGTATAATGTGTGCTTTAAAATAATTTATTTATATGTGTTGTACTTAAAAAATAATTGTAAAAAGGTTAATGTCTATTTAGAAGATTTTATTTTGACAGTTAAATTACTGATGATATCACTTCCTCACGTGTGTTTGTAGTTTCTTGTGTGGACTGAGAGTGAGGCAGACATAAGAAACACATGGTGAAGACACATAAACAGTGACAGTTGTTAAAAAATATATATATATTTTTTTTTTATTTGTGATTAAGCAAGGACATTTCGCCATGTTTTTAAAAAAAAAACAAAAACATTTTGCTGATGTTATTTGCTATCACTCAATGTGCCTGTAATTATGTTAATTCATATTTTACCTGATCATTATAGAGTTCATTTTAAGATTCTTTTATTTGTTTTTAAATCTTTAAATGGTCTGGCTCCATCTTAACTCTTTGAGCTTCTCCACCCCTACACCCCTGCTCGGTGCCTCAGGTCAGCTGATCAGCTGCTCCTGGAGGTCATACAAATACAGTTGAGTTGAGTTTAAAATGCAATATTTGCTGTATTTACAGTCTTCACAACATCACTTAAGACTTCTGATTAAAAGGTTGACTCCACTGCGACTCATGTTTTCATTGACAAAGGTTAAACTCAGTGTAGAATCAGAGTTGAAACACTCTGTAACACTCACTTCAGCTGGGTTTAACTATGTTGCACACTACAGCCAATCAACACTGGCTGTATTGTGACTTTAACTTGCCAGTTGTGAGTTTAACCTCATCAGTGCTTTACACCTCTGCACCAACAATCATCTCTTTATTGGCCACAATTGTTCACAGGTTTGCAGCTACAGCTAAATCGGCCTGTAGATACTGCCTCTTTCTCCTCAAATGACAATGATTGGTCTGGTCATTCTCTGACAGGGAGCAAGTTTATCAGTCTAAAAAATAGACTGTGTTAACCTTAGACAGCTTGGCTCTGCCTTCTGTCATTATTTGACGGAATTTGAAGCAAAATTGCTCTCAGTTTTTCTGGGATTTTTCTCCACTTGCAGGAACCACCACTAGCGCAGTAGCGTTCTATGCATTTGGCAGGAGAGTCGATGTGGCACTTTGCTCAAACAGCATATCCCCCGGATAGTCTATGCAAACTTTTTGCGCCCATAGGCTGTATCAAGTGTCAATCATAAAAAACATGAACCCCTAATAACTGAAAAATGGAGCTGCACAGAAAAAAGAGGACTTGAGCAAAAACCAGTCTTACAATAACTACATGTCAACATCGCAACCAGAACAAGAAAATCTACCATGGCTAAGAGTCTGGGAGAAAAAGGGACACAAAAGACCAAGTGAAAAATATGGAGATGCCTTTTGGAGTTTTTCTAAAGACTGACCTTTGATTAGTCTCTGGAGCTCTTCACCTCTTGACATCCACTAAAATTTCTACATTTTGTTTTCATTGTTATTTGCAAAATTAAGGTAGAAAGACTTATTGTCCACTGCAGCAAAGGGGACTGAAATGCAAATGTGGGTTTCTTTTGAAGGAGGAGAACAACATATTGAACTGCATGGTTTGGATATGCACCATATGTGTATTTTCTTTGATAGACAGACGAAAAAACTGCGATGTGTATTAAATACAAAAGCAGTAAAACCCAAGGGGGTATTTGGCCAAATGAGGACCTATTTGTTCTGTTGACAAGACTGAAGCTGCTCAACCAGCCGAAACCTTGATACAGCAGACAGTTGTATGGACATGGTTTGACAGCCCAGACCTGATGTTGACAAGAAGAATGAGAGGAAAGACCAGAGGAGACAAAAAAGGCACACAGAAGAAAGAACAAAGTATTCAAGAACTGTAAGGTTACCAGCTGTGACATGACTGCATATGAACAGGGAGATGCAGAGGCCAGCGAGAGACAGAGGTCTACATGAAATTCAAGACATGCAGGCAAAAGGAAAAGACAACTGACATAGAGTATGTTGTCTGACAAGCAGGGAGGAATGTAACTAGATGACTGCTCCTTCCAGCCATTAGTTTGGGGAAATCACTGCAACCTCCTAACCTCCAGCTGTCCTTTTGTCTTATTTCATTTCCTTCCAGTCTCTTCTTGTCTTTTCATCCTCCCATCACCGCCTCTCTCTTTTTCCTTTGTCTTATTTTTCCTCATATCATTGTCCCGCAAATCTTGTTTTTGAAGATTTTGAGATGACTTTGCTCTGCTTATTCATCAGTGCCGTCCTTGAGTGAACTGCACATGCGACCTGACAGCTAGTTAGAGACTCTGAAACACGCACACATGCGCACATCCACTCACACTCGTGATTCAGATATACATTGATAAACAAGGGCAAAAAGAGTCCAGCACACACGTGTACGCACACACACACACGGACATGAACACACACACAGCCAGCAGGAAACAAAGGAGACGGATGATAAATGACATAAGTAGTAAAAGAAAAGCTCTTGTGAATGTCAGAAGATGTTGTGCAGAGGACAGAGTGACCCGTCCTTGAATCCTTTCATAATTAATGCTGGTGACATCATTTTACTGTCCCTGAGTTCAGTTCAGACCACACGAGTCCACGAGTACCTAAATACATGGATGACTGTGTCCATCTGCACTACTGAGTCCCAATTAACATTTATAATTGTATTTATTTGTGCATATGTGTCCTTCTTATCATGGTGTGTGATTCACTCCTTCAAGCTCCTGCAATATTGTGACCACAAATTCTGACCATTTAAGTTGAGACTAAAAGAAGAGCTCTGGATTCAATTAAACGGATATTAGCAGAGTCGAGCTCTCTCAAGCAAAGCAACACATATCCTTGTATTCACTGTTATATACAGTGCAAGGATATATTTATATTTCTTACAACTAATAAATCCAGGTCTCTTCATTCATTGTCTGTGACAACTGAGATATTTGTCCAAATATCATCTGTGCATTTCTCTGTATTTGTTTCATCATAAAACAGCTTCAAACTTCTCTTTGAAGTCCTTGGTTGATGTTAGTAACCTATTAATTACATGGTAGTTCACTTTGTAATTTTGGTAAATACTTGGTAATTACTTAATTGGCAATTTACCACCACATAGTTACCATATCAATACTTTATAATTACTCAGTAATTACTTCTTATTACCTGACTGTTACCAGGTACTTCTTAAGAAATTACATTTATAATTATTACACACCCAAGACACTCGCTTAACCAGTTTTCACAAACATTGGATTTCTATTAATTTTTCTATATATTTCAAGGATCAGTCTATGCTTCTAAAAAAATGCACATTTTTTACCATGCATATTATAGAAATGACAAAGGAGAGAGAGAGAACGAAAGCTGTGCATTTCAAAGAAAAAAATTGTGACATCTCTTCAAATTCTTTAACCATGAGTGCCAGGTCAGGATAATCAATTTTTATCATAAATAGTATTTATCTTATTTATATTACTAATTATTATTATTATTATTATTATTATTATTATTATTATTATTATTATTATTATTTTTATATACTGTATAAAATGTATTTAAAATTACAAGAATAGAGAAAAAAATACATTCAACATATCAAATTATTTCCTTGCTTATTTTTTGGTTTGACATTATTCCAACAACACAGACCATTATAGCCCTGAACTATTGAAATGGTGAGAATGAAGCAGAGGATTTGTAGACATCATTCTTTGACTAAAAACTTGTAGGAAACTAAGTTAAAGGATGTTTAAAAGCCAAAAAAAAGTATATGTCAATTAGCAACCCTATGAGGTGGGCATTGGGTAAGCCTGACTGCCTCAGCCTATTTGACCTGACCTGGCTTAGCCTTTGAGTGTTGTACATGCTGCAATCTCCACTGTTGAAATATGAAGCTAATTTGGAAGTTTAAAACTGCTTTTTGTAAGTGTCCACCTTTAAAAGCAAAGGAAACCACACTGGGTTAAAACGTCCATTTCTCTATCAGAAAATAATAACTCACTTTATCTGGTATAGGATATTATTAAATCCTCTATACCTACAGTATATACTGAATCACAACAACTGCATAGGGGGAAGTCTGTTTATGTCAAGACCATGATTTATGCACACTGAACGTATATTAATATGGATTCCTCTGTCCTCTCCCAGCCTCTATTGCAGTGCCAAAATACTGCCTCTTTGGTCTCAAACATATTGCACTGGTAAAGCCAAAAACACAGAGGTGGTCTGGCTGGGTGAGACATGACAAGGATGCCACACCCACCCTGCTAATAAAATATATACTTGACTGACTGATAATATATCAAAGGTCCCTCAAGTCAGAATAACTCACATTAGACCACTTTAAATGGACTGTAAGCGTTATTTCATCACATCACATCACAGTCACCTTTATACACCAATGGCTGGCACTAATACTGGTGTCCATCAAAATTAACCAATCCCATTCACACACTACAGTATATTCATTGGGGGTAGTTTTGGGGATTGATGTCTGTTTCAAGGACAGTTCAGCATTTGGACTGCAGGACCGGGAAAAGAACTGGTAACCTTTTGACTGAGACATGACCGACTCTACCACACGGCTACAGAATGGCGGCTAAAGGCCATCAGTGCCGGTCGGCACTGATTGTTTTCCATACAAGTTAATGTGTCAAATTCCACTGGCTTCTTTCTGGCCCCCTGCAGTTCAGCGGTCTTCATAGCCCATCTTCATAGTGACAACTCGTTAACATGCAATTGCATGTGAATTTGCAGGTTCTTTCGAGTCCTTGTGATTCCTGCTGTCTAAAATTTGCCACGAAATTTGCCTCACCAACGCATCTAGTACGATTTGGCAGATGGCATGATCGCTGCCGTTCTGCATGCAGTTGAATTTGGGTGTTACTCTTGTAGTCCACTAAAGAATGTACCAAGAGCTCAGATTTGTCAACAGAGACGTCAATTGGGCCCCTTTTAACATCAAATGTCTAATCAAACCCTTAACATACAAATTTGGGTTTCAAAGACTAGCAGAAAGCATGTCTTGAAAAGGTCTTGAGTCACTCAGGATAATTGTTGTTCGTTACGTTTTATTTGAAATAGTTTATAGCTATGAAGACATAGGTAAAATTAAGGGCGCAATAGTCTTGCTAGCACACAGCTAGCAAGACTATTGCCTCAACTCTGCCTCTGCCTATTTCTACATTAGCTGTAAGCAAGTTGGAGCAGCCATTTCCAACCTGGCGCCATTCCTGGGCAATGTCTCTGAGACTCTAACAAGGATTTCTACAGAAAAATGCTGCACAGACAGAAAAGAGGAGTCACATGACAGAGCTATCTGGACTGTACCTTGCAACACAGCGATTTCATGTTAGAGCCTCTTCAATTGTTCTGTCTGGTCAATATAGTCTGTCTTCTTGTGCTTTTTAATCCTGTACTTTTGGTTTGTAGATTGTGTCATTTCAAGACTTAAAAATAGGTCTTCTTCTATTGAGATCGCGTCAAATTGAATTCTCTCATGTATCCTATCCTGTTGTATCATATAATCTCACGTTGTGTAACAAATCCATCTTTTATCCATACTTTTAGTTGTGTCTGCTCAACATTTACACCAAATGACCAACAAGATAAAATGGCCATGTATTTTCCAGGTCCATAAATCAGTTATGGGGATGAAAATAATGGCTGCATCTGACAGTGACTCATAAACATGAATTCATTCTGGCATTGTGACTCTATCCCCTAGTGCAATGTATTAATAACAAACACACACACATACAAGCACCCCCACATATACACACACAAGCTGGCATTCTGACTCCATCCCTGGGCACAGCACATAAATCTTCCCTAATAACAGCGGTGGCATTTCAGCAACAATAGGGATTACACACAACCTCTGTCGAATGGTCTACCAGCCAGAACACACACAGATACTGACACAGAAACACATACACACTCTCAAGATACACAATATGCTGCAAGTTTCTCAAGTTTCACCAGTGAAAGTGGGAGGCAGACAGAAAGAGAGAGAGAGAGAGAGAGAGAGAGAAAGAGACAAGTAGAAAGTGAGAGAAAAAAGCTCCCTTTGATTTCTCTTGTTTTGTCAGACTATATTCACACGGTGAAGCCTCACATTGGCTTTACCTGCTGGGTTTTTACTTTGTTCCAGTGCAATCAAATGTGATGATCCATTTTAAATTTACATAAACACTAAATATCCGTGTAAAGAGTTATATAAATAAGCGAGAACAGAAGTAGATCTAGCTTTGAGGAAAATACACTTCATCAGAAATGTCCAGATGTGATATGTCTATCTATCTGCCCCTTTTGTTGGTGTCTCTAAAACGCTAAATTAAAAAAGTACAGAAAAAAATCTGTTGGTGTAGAATAATCAACAGGTTGGAGGTTCTTGATAAAGAGAAATAATGTCAGTTAGGAGCCAAACAAAACAAAAACAACAAAAATGGGAATGTATACTGTACAGCTGTACCCATAGACTGTATATAGAATGGACATTGTCTGCCTCCTTACTGGATGAAGCCACCCCGAGAACAGCACCCTCTGGTGACTGGTTGCAGTATAGGTCATTAATCCCGCCTCCTCCAGCCAACTTAATGGAGCTGTGGACAAACTTTGTTTATCAATTACACAGAATGTAAAATTTTCTCCCCCCTGGTTGTGATGTTGACATATGGTATTGTAAAGCCAAGTTGTCCATAGTATATACAGTGTATAGCTGTACCCAGAAGGGATGAGTCCCAGCCTTAACATGCTTCCTGGTCTAGGTCTTCCTGACTTCTTTCAAACATCTTGAGTCAAACTCTTCTCTTTACATTCTAACTTTTCTTTCCTCTCTCTCTTTCAAAGGGGGTTTTACAGAGGAAGTTGTAGAGTGTAAGGCCAAAAAACCAACTGGGATGAATCCTTTTCAGGCTTCTTGACCTAGCTTTGCCTTCTCCTGCCTTCTTTCTAACATCTTTCTCCATATTTCTTCCTGTATTTTGGTGTGCGGGTATGGTGGTAGATGAAAGCAAGTACAGGGGAGATTGATACTGGAAAACAGATGAGGATCCTTTATTTTTATCTAAACTAAAACCACTATCAGTACTCGGTAAATATCAAAGCCTTTGTTGCAACCACAAACATATTCTCTATTATTTGGTGGAAAGATATGACTCATGTTTACAGGGATAAGGAAACAGATTATCGTGTTTTAGTTTGGAAAATTTTGGCATTAGTGGTTTTAATCACATACTTTAGTCTCATTAAAACGGATGTTTGGAAGTTAACCAGGTTGCAATTTTAAATGAAAGAGCTATTTTGAATTGATGAGAAAAAATTAATTTCTCTTTCAAATATCTCTTCAACAGTTTTTTTTTCTAACCCAACCTTGGATAAACCTCATGGAAACCTTGAGAATTGACTGCAGTATTGACAAGCCTCAACACGATTGACTTTATTTGGTTTTGAATCACGCGTCCAGGGACCGTAATACAACCAGGTTTCAATCCAGATCCTCATTCTATGATGGTGACAGAGCTAACGGTTAATTCTCCCCAAGGTGTTGAGGGTCTCACTTATTGAAATATCAGCGTACCATTGTGTTCACTGGATATACCATGGGGGTTGTTTCTGGTATTTATAACCCTATTGGAAAAAAAGTTGAAGAATTGTTTCACCCTTCAGGAATCAGAAATCCAAAGTACAATTTTACTATCATGAATTGTAGTTGTGACCTAAGTTAGGGAGACAAAACCGAGATCATGGAGAAATTTATTTTTTCCTGAGCCAATCTCAGTCAACAACTCACTGCAGATCTCGGTCTGTATTCTTTTGGATTGACATTTTACAAACGATACCTTAAGAAAATAACTTAATTAGACATTTATCTTCTGACAGAAATATACCATGAAATATTCTGTACAACCATTCTACCATATTCAAGTCATTTTCTCAGTGATTTTCTAGCTGTTTGTGTGTCCTGCAACAAGCAAGATTTCCCTCTAGTTCTACCAGAAATGTGTAGATTTAAGAGTACAAGATCCTCAAACAGCTGAGACCTCTTCATTTATCATGCTGCATTCTAGTTGTACTTCAAAGTCGGAATTTCCAAGCTCCGAGTCAAGAATTTAGACGATCCTCACCAACCCCAACTTGACAATAACGTCATTATCCACGATGGCAGTGCAATGCATCAACCGTACAGAGTAACAGTGAAGGCTCTCGTAATGTATTATTTATTAGCGCTTCTGTTTTGTTTTTGGGAAATTAAATAAGTGGTATATGTTGTACTGCCCAACGTCCAACTGTGAACACGGTGCTATGGTGTTTATAAGAGTAAATACTGTGTTATGCGTTGTTTACAACTAGTAAAGCTAACAGCAATGAACAACAGCTGACAACGGCTAACAGTAGGCGTCCATTTTGGTTTTCCGACTTGTAAACTGGAACACCATCAACTCGGGTGTAACATCATTCCTAGCTCCGACTTCTGAGGTAACTGAAACGCAGCATTAGTCCATGAGAACATTTCTCCAGCAGAGTTCAGCTCGTTGATAACAGCACTTTAGTGAAAACAGAGGAGCAGGCAGGACTCTATCTTCAAATCAGCCAAATTCATCTGAGGAATCAGGGTGATAAAAACCACAACAGCACATTTGATGCCCACTGCACAGTCAGAGCTGAGATAATAACCCAAGACCTGTTCAAAGATGTTTTCCTCTTGTCAACCTGTCCAGCTGACATGTTTAAAACAAACTGTTAAGCCGCTGACTGTGCCAAATGTATGTTCAGAAAGGTGTGCTGTCCTCAGATGCCCCTGCCGTATCCGCTGCGGTAACAATGTGTCCTGCACTAATGCACTAATTAGGAACTGTGACGGGTAAATTTCTAAAGCATCACCTCAAATAATGGAAATTTGTCGGGTAGTTTGTGGAAGTAGTCACATTATTCATCACTGTCACACTATCTCAATCCCCATCTGGAGGAGTTTAGAAATGAATATAAACTCCTCTGTGCTGCAACAACTTGATACTAACTTCTAATTTACTGAATCCTGTTTTACACCCCAAACTGCTGATGACAGAGTTTGGATAATTGCAACCTAATTAAGTATGCTTAAGAGAATTATGTGTGTTTCAATGATTATATGTGTCTTTTTTAAAGATGCTTACTGTTGTTGCCATTAGCAGAGGACTATGTACTGGGGCTGCCCATAAATCAAATAATTTAAGAGGAGAGGTAAAGTCATGACTAACATCAGACAACAATTAAAGGAGGACATGTTTATTGGTTTATCATATATTGTTCCTATTTGTGGTAATGATTGTTCGGACAAATTGCATGCTACATTACTGCCTAATATTGCTGCTTCAGTGGATAGTCGGTAATTACAGCATACTAATGATTACAGTTTGTAATGATTTGCATGCCATTATGTTGACTTTATAGGAAAATAATCAGGTGTTGAAGCCATAAACCTCCTAACCTACTGCTGAGCCTGAAAGTCTTTAAACTGCTGTTTCTAATTGATCTGTCATAAGAGCACTTACAATGAGATGCCTCAATTTACAAAACCTGTGACAGCCAGAGGTGCCTTTCTGTCATTTTTTAAATGTGCGTGGCTCGGTACCTTGAGATGGAGATGCACAAGAGTGTCACTGCAGCCCAGAAGAGGAGTGATTTCCACATACCCTGACTGAAGACTCTCCTCTATAATTACAGCTATTGATAAGAAGCAGCAAGCACTTACTCATAATTACTGGTCTCTCAGCTAGGTAACAGCTGCTGGCCAGACAATGGTGGAATTTTGGAATCAGATTTTTATTACCCTGAAACTGAGAAAAGAAAACTATAGGATACAAACCAATGCATGGAGGAAAAGAGAGAGGAGGGCTCGTGCAGAGAGAGTATTGGTAGACAGACTGTGCAGGGTTCATTTGTGGCATTGGTCTGACACGGTCATTATAATGATTCTGCCTATGCACACTTTGACTTTCTTTGCTAACAAGTTCATGCCTGTTGCATAAAAGTAACTTGGTTGATTTAGTATGTTTATCTGTGTTTTGCAGGGTACACAGTGCACACCATGACTCCAGTTAGGGACTGTAGTTGGAACAGATACCTGTTGTCTTCAGTCACCAGATTAAAGTTAGAGCTGTCAGATCTGTAGCCCAACTGTCCTGGATTTCAGAGCTGCGGGGAGCATTTGAACCTTGTTATGACTGACTAGAATTAAAGCCAAAAGAACTTCATGTGACTTTAAACAACTCAGTGGCAACTGTCTATTATACATCCAGTCCAAATCTGTGCTAACCAAGAAATAAGCAGAGGAAAAGTAACCGTGTTGCACCCTGGTTTGCTGGTTCACTGTAGGCCTTGCTCTAATACCAAAACAAAAAACAGCATTGGATGCATACACATAATGAACGTTTTGTTTACTGTGATGTAAAACTGAAAACGAGGCCAATATTTAGACTTAACCATGCTTTGTGTTGTGTAACAGGCTGCTGCTCACCCTGTTGGGATTTCAAACCACGATTACAACTTCGTCACAATACATCATTCCCTGCATACTCTTACATGCAGGGAATGATAAATGAAAAATACTGAGTGTTTACTTTTATTTGTTCAGCTTCCTTAACTAAAATTGAGAATTACAAAGCTATAAGAAGAGGCAGGTTTTCATTATGCTTCTTCAAACTATTTTGTACTGTATAAAAGATTCTACACAAGATGGCCGGGCGGGTTAACGCACCCCATGTATGGGGACCACAGTACCCACAGCGGTCACAGGTTCAAGTCAGGCTCGACCATGTGCTACATGTCCTCCCCACTTTCTCTCTATCTCCCCACATTTCACTTTGTCCTATCAATTAAAGGCAAAAATGTGCCCCCCCAAAAAAATAAAAATAAAAATAAATAAATAAATAATAAAATAAAATAAAAAAAATAATACTACAGTTTCTACACAAAGGATACTGCTGAGAAAAGACGGTAAAATGAGAACATTCAGTAAAGTTGTGGATGCTGAAGCCTGGCAGAGTTGATAGAGTAGAGCTTATGAAAACAGGGAAAACACACTCTCCAGGTAACTCCGAACTGTCTTAATCAACAGTTACCTGTTGACAGGTTGAACATCACTGATAAGGCAGCTGTTACTTTCTGGTAAAGCAACTCTCAATCGGAGAGTTGGTGGTTATATCCATATAGTGTCCTTGGCTGTGACACTAGAGCCAAAATAACACCCTATATCCCAGCACCAGAGTATAAATAAGTAAAAAAGCGGAAACATTACAAACATATGCAGGCCATTTATAATCAGATTCCATTGGCTTAAATAAATTGATGTCAGAAGGATGTGTGAACCTTCAATTATCCGTGTAGGTCTGCTATGATACCTGCAATCCACTGTGAAAAGTAGTTGTATTTATTGTGAAGTTTTTGAATTTCACCCATGCTGCCCTTGTTATTTTAATATTATTTTAATCCAAGAGATGACTGACCACTACTGAGCCACAGTTTCCTCCCTTGGTTTAATAATTCAGCCCAGCTAATCCCACAATGCAATTTGCTTTGGTGTCCTTGCTGATCTAAAGTATAGGTGTAGTATTACATACAGGTTGAAATGAAAAAGCAGAGGAATATTCCTCACGACAACTCATTCATGTAGCATGCCATCCTGATACAGATTCCAGGTTAAAAATATAGATAAATAACATGCATGCTTATGGGATAATAACTGTTTTCATATAAGAAAGCACAGAGGTGTTCCTTGTCGTTTTTGCTATTGGATTTTTTTTTTCTTAGTTATGGTCCTGTCTTTATGTCTAAAAAAATCTATAAATAAACTGGCTGGGGGAGAGAATCCACAGGCAGGTAAGGTTGTTGTTGGTCAGCCACATGTTACCCACTATAGTTCTGGCACGGGCAGCTGACACCTGGAAGTCCTACATGGTACTATTCCTAGGGTTGTATTGCTGTGACAGTACAAGGTATAAAAAAATATATGAATAAAAATGCATGAAGTCGGTGAAAACTTTTGGAGCATATATCAGATGGAAAACAAAACCCACACTGCCCCCCTCAACTTGTTCAGTGTGCTACAGAAAGGCCTTGCATGTATTCTGATACATAGTAAAGGAAAATATCATGGATTTTGCAAGTCAGAAAGCTCACTAATTACACTTCCTCTTACTAATGCTAACAAAAACATATATAAATGTATACAGTGCATCTTTTGAGTCTGTCTCTTTTTGGTCTCAAATTAACATTTAGAGAAACAGCTACCGGACTGTGTTTTGTTTTGACAAAGATGATTTATTTATTCATAGCCTTTGTGGAGGGTAGTTTGGGGAAAATAACAAAAAGAAGTTAACCCTGACAGCAAAAGAGGGCATCTTTGGGGGCAGCGATTGCAAAACACAAAGACACACAGGAATCAAACTCATCTCAGAGGAGCAGAAGAATTAATAAGAAGAAAATTTAGTTTGTTTGGTTTAAAATGGCCACTGTCAAAGCAGGCACAGGGGAGATGCAAGGCTCTGGTCTGCCGGGACACAAAATCAGATGATTGTTTACAGAGAGGATGCTTCTCTTGCCTCTGTTGTTTTCCCATAATTCATTTGTTCCCGCTCAGAAAATAACACTTGCTGAGAAGCATCTGAAGAAATCATCATGGGAAAACTTTTTTTTTTTCTTTCTTTTTCTGCTTTTCCTTGTGAATGGTGAAGATGTGGATAGAGAAGGTGTATGCCTGGGCTGTGCAATTTGTTTCAATCTCTTTTCCTTTGTCTATCTTTTTTACTCAACTGTCTGGCTTTTTCTAACCACTTTTCCTGAAAAACACTAATGGCAAACAATGATATGCAAGGTTAAGTTGTTAAAGAGGATGAGAGAGAGAAACAAAATCCGAAAACACAGGGCTTTATTTATCTGCTAAACACGTCCTCTTCATATCTATTTTTTGTCGCTTGTCTCTCTTCTTACATTCACCGTTTCTGAGTGTCTGCTCTGCTTCCTGCTCTGATCACTCCTACAGCTGTGGGCACATAAATTGATGGTTTCATCAACATACCAGCAATTAACTGGATTCATTCTTCAAAAAATCTCACCGGCAAAAACACTCAACTTTATAGCAGACCTATGCTAAAGCACTCTTTGAGTTAGTCTGATATGTTTGGGTATATGTCTGTGAGTCACGCTCTATATAAAGGGCAGAGTGCACCTGTCGGGGAAAGGGATATAGTGTGTCTACTGAAAACATTTTTTTTATCCCTCTCTTGAAATAAATGCACGTCAGGGCTGATATAGAGAGCATCATGATAAAATGCAAGGAGGGCACTGAGCCTACACACACAACATATGCACACACACAGATGAAGAGTGCATATACAGATATCTCAAAGGGGCTTGTTTGAGTATTATGTTGATTTTTCCTGTATGGTTGCTTTGTTTGTGGTCAATGGTTTTACATCATTGTGTACTGAGTCAATAATTTCACTTCTGCTGTGCATGCAGGATACATATTTTATTTATGTATGAATTCACTAGCTGGAGGTTTTGCAGTTATTTGAAGCTACCGTGAAGTGTTTTATTCTCATGAAAAGAGGGCTTTTTCGACTTCCCTTTTTCTTGCACAACATGTATGCTGAATACTCTGCCTGCAAGAAAATTCGCAGTTGGATGCTTATATGCTGCCTACCTCCAACGCAGCACTTAATGGCATTTAAGCTGTTCAACATAAACGTGCAATCGCCAGTGTGCACACAAACATCTAGTTAGCTTTGCTGTAATATTCAATATCAATGCAAAAATACTGAGACTAGGAAATGGTTCCCATTTGAAAAGCCTTAAAAGCAGAATCCACAACCAGTGTTTAGGAAGCCACCAACCAAAACACTATTATTTAGCCATGCATTCAACGCTCCTTTACCATCCATCCTCTAACAAGCATTGACTTTCAAATGGGACACGCATTGACTTCAGAAGGGACTGTCTTTGAGAAGTGTGGCCTCACATGGGGACAAGTATCGACTTCAAAGGACACATGCTTTGAAACACATTAGATTCAAATGGGCTAGATTCAATACAGCATTAGCTTCAAATGAGTCATCCTTCATAGTTTATTGACTTCAAACGGCGAGAAGCAGAGTGAAAAGCAACACACCCAGTTACTGATATGCCATACCAGTCCCAGAGTTGGGGCATTCACCTCTGCTAGAATGAAAAAGGGAGAAAAATTACTATAATTTAAGTTTTTTGATTCGTATGGTTTAGCAAACTGAAATGAAAAGGAAAGAAAACAAGACATGACATAAAAGATAAGAAAAAGTGTTTTGTTCGTGTTTCTCCAAATATGTAAAATACATTCCCCTAATGGTGCACATGAATACCTAACGGGGAAAAACTTATTTAAATCCAGCAATATGGATCACAAAATACTAATTTGTATAGTTTTATCAGTTGCAAATTGCATTGAAGTTTTACGAACAAGATTTACAAACACTGCACAGTGTTTCCCCTACATTCATTCAGCACCGCTGCTGCTGAATTATCACATGATCATTAACATTAATGCACCGCTAATGATTTCTAGTCGCACTGTGTGAGCAGAACAACGCACAACATTATTTTCGACTTGTTTTGAGTCATCAACAAGTGCTGTCGGACCCTCTTCCATATATATGAAGGGTAATGTTTGAGCTTATACGCAGTCTACATAGCGAGTAGCGCGGGTAACATAACGTATAACAGCGACTTGAGAAAAAAAATGGGTTAACTTCTCACAGAAGTTCAGATGAATACTTGAAGACTGTGGAGAGGATATTTTTAGAGTTGTTTCCTTATAGATTGTTTTGTTGGTTAAAAATAAACAGTGTTACTCTCATTATTGAGTTAGAGTAAAAGGAGGGAATTTCAGTTTGACATTATAGTTCATCCTCTGACGATCACATCCTCACCAAATACCACATCTTCATGAAAAAAACCATTCATCACTGTTGATATTTAACACAATAAATGCCAATAAAGTATCTCTTACTTTTTTAATATGAAAAAATACTTAAATGTGTATTAGCATTCCTACAAATCACTGAGTCTGTAAAGGTGCAGAGGCCTTATGTTGAGCTAGATGCTCTTAATATGGTATAAAGAATTCGAGGTCACCACCTTAATCCTCCACAGACATTAAGAAAAAAAGAGCAAAAATCATGCATCAATTACTGTTGCTGGATGGCTGAGCTAAGTGCATGCTAAACCACAGGCTAGCCTGAGGTGGTCCTAATGTAATGATAATTCACAGACCTGGAGCCTGACTAGGGACTGGAAGACAGCTATGTGTGTGTATTAGTATGTAAAGACACCACCAGAAGGAAACACACACAGATTTAAAGGAATAGCTCTCGCAGTACATGTTGTGTGATTGTCTATGTGCGCACAACTTCATGTGTGTTTGTTGGAGTTCAATGCCGGCTCAAGTGAAAATAAAGTGAGAGACTGTTTTCGGGCGATTAGTCTGACCCCTAGCATTAGCCAGTTATTTCCCTTGGTAGCTAAACATATTAGACCATCCTCTGGCCCTTGAGCTGCAAACACAACCACAGACTCACACCAACACTCATACTTAAACACACACAGTCTTAGGCATGCAAAAATACATGTGTGGCAGGTTTAAAGGGCAGGGGCAAAAAATCGTTTTGAGAGATAAATAAAAGTCAGAATCATATTAAATTGGATTCTTAAGGTTATCAGCTTGCGGGTTAACTCATCTGCAAACGAAAAAAAAAAAAGTTGTAAGCCCTTGAATTCTAATGCCCGTCATTTTACCATGAAAATCCAGCATTTTAATCCCAGATCGGCTAAGTCCAGTGGACTGGAACAAATAGCATGCAGAGGCTGACAAGAGGATGAGGACCATGTCAGAGAATCCATAAGAATTCTATATGCTTGGGGCAGGCCTTGATGGGAACTGCCGATTAGCAGTGCACACAAAAATACAGCAGATATCTTGACAATATGATTGGCATTTGGATTAAAAAATATATAGAGAGTAAGGAGCTTCGTGTCTAACTTAAAGTGAAGAGATGGAGAGTTTGGAGAGTGTTGGTGAAGTCCCAACTGCATAATTCACCTCCTTGAGCCTCACCTGTTCTCTGAGGCTGAAATTTATCTCACTGCGACTGTGGGGGGGATAATATTAGGAACGCTTGAGCTGAGGGTTTTATCTTAAGGTCAGGTTTTACATATCACTTCCACACACACACACACAAGAATTATGCAAACACAGTTGTTCAGAGTTTTTCAGAGCTAAACACAAATGTTGTGTGTTTAAAAGTTTGGCAAATGTCTGCAGTCTTTGTTCATGTTCACACAAATACGTATACATGCATTAGTGTGCACATGGTGTCTTGAATGTCCTGATGGTGCACACTCAATTACACATACACTGTTAGTGACAGCACCTATCTGCCACCCACAGTAAGTGACCTGGGTTAAATATGTAATGACTGCTTGTCCCACACTCAGGATTAATGGGCTGTGGAGAAAGGAGATAAAGGCACATCATTACACACACACACACACACACACACACACACACACACACACACACACACACACACACACACACACACACACACACACACACACTCCTTTATAAAAGAGGAAGAAACATCATTAAAACTGGTGGAATCTTGTGTGATATGGTTGAGTTTTTTTTTTTTTTTTCTTAAAGACTCATTTGCATATTTTATAAAATATTTTGTAAGTGAAAGTTCTTTTTCGTAGACTTTGTGTCAAATGAAGATGAGAATACTAACCATCATCAAGCACAGGAAAAAATATTAATATGCAACCAAATAACTAACTTCTATGTTGCCCCTTGAAAGAGTAATTTCTCAATTCCCGGGGTGATTTGGTTAATTTATTCCAGTCAGCATTGAAATGACTAATCAAAAATAATATATATATTGTGTCCATTGCCTTCAGTAGCCCATTTCTCATTACAATGTCCTGATTCCTCAGCATTTGACACAGACCTCGATAACCCAGGTAATGTCTGAGCCGGTTTGGTTTTCGTTGGTAATGCACTCGTGTTTATGAGGTAGGCCATAGTGCTAAGAGTCTTGCCTAAGGACCCACACTGGTTGATGTAATCTGCTCTCTACGGATGTGTGTCATACGGTATTCGAACCCCAACTGCCTAGTAGGGAACCAGATGCTCTACCCACTAAGCTACCCAGCTGCTAGACAAACAGCAGAGAAAAGCCGTTGTGGTAGGTGTCACCATCCCAATCGATACCAACATCAGGAAGAAGGAACACGAGAAACTGGAGAAGTACCAAGGGCTTAAAGAGGAGCTAGAGAAAGCCTGGAAGGTGAGGGCAACAGTAGTACCTGTGGTCATCAGACACTCGGGGCAGTAAACCCCATACTGGAGAAGTGGCTCAAATAGATCCCTGGGGAAACATCGGACATCTCACTCCAGAAGAGTGCAGTCCTCGGAACAGCAAGGATACTGCGCAGGACCCTCAAGCTCCCAGTCCTCTGGTAGAGGACCCGAGCTGGAAGAGACACAAGCAGTTCCTTCATACAGAGAAAAAAGTAAAGAAAAACTCCTCCTTGTACTCAGTGACCCAGTCTGCATGTTGGGGGTAAAGTTCCAGATAGATTTAACCCAGCTGCCACTGGGATAAATCTATCTGTCTATCCACCAGTGGTGGAATTGGTTAACTGGTAGTTCAACGGTTTAATTCCAGGTGCGGCTGTCAACATGACAAAGTGTCTTTGGGCAAAAAAACCTTTCTCCAAAACTGATCAAGGTGCTGTGCCATCATGTGGGTGGGATCAGTCAGTATGGATGAGTGCTTTACATAGCAGCCTCTGCCATCAGTAGATGAATGTGGTGTGAATGGATGAAAGTGTAATATAAAAGTGTTATGAGAGACCAGTAGACTGGAGAAAGCACCGTCAGCACAAAATTCATCAACTTCTACTTACGGTGAAAAAAGTTATAATGAATAGTTATGCCAAAGTATCATCAACAAACTTAATATACAGGTATATTACTTAGAGGTCATCCAGGGGTAAGGTTTTTGTCTTGATCACTGAAATTTTGAGCCTAATTATGCTAATTTGTAGTCCACCACAAATACCATGAGCTCTCAGCAGATGGTTAATATTTTTCACTAACTGCAAGGGGGTGTTATAGTGCTAGTGTTAGGGAAGATTTTTTGTTTGTTTGTTTGTTTTGTTTTGTTTTTTGCAAAGAGGCTCATTTGCCTAAAAAGCAGCATAAATTGCTCCACACCCTTTGTGCATGCATTTAACCCATTTCTTTATGGCCTGATTCCACATAGTTAAAGGGGAACAAAGGGGCACAGTCCTTTAGTGAATTAGGTCCTTCATGTGTACGTGGATATTAAAGTCATGACCAGCTTTTGTGTATGTTTTCAAGACAAGGAGTAACAGCCATTAAGAAACACCTGAAAAAACACATAATCTTGCAGTGATCCCAGTAAAACTATTTGTATGATACAGTATGATACCAAGTATTCAAAGGCCAAAGCTCTGGTATGTCCAACAAAATGAAGTTAGTTGGAGTAATTGTAGCCGTGAGCCTTGCCCACCCTGGAGGGAATTTTGTAAGAACTGCTCCGATGAAGGGGTTACGCTAAGAGACCAGTCTCTGCGGTGTAGTTAGTGAGGAACTAAATAGGAAAGGGGGCACTGCCAGATATTCTGGCTACATGAAAAATATTCACAGTGGGCCCCGCCATTTCAAGACCACAAAATTTCTAATGCCTTTTATGGCACATTTTAGTCATGGGTCCTTACAATTTCCAATCTTTTCATGCAGCCTTTGCTGGAGTAAAAGGAACCCAGGTGACTTTTCACTTGATGACCACTCTGCATCCGTTCAAAGCAGCTGCCCCATGTGCTAAAAATAAAGCCTAAGGTGTAAAAAACTGCAGCTCCTTGATTGTCCATTTGAGGTGGGCTCCAAAAGCCAAGGAGATCCTTCAAAGAGGACAAATGAAAATGTCTTCTCATTGGAATTACAGATGTTTACAGCCCGGAAAAGAAAACGCTATTGACCTCATTTCTTTATCCGTGCCAACTGTGTTGCTAAATATGAAGTTTAGAATATACTACTGCTAAATATAACCAGGCATCATTGAGGACAAGGCTGTCTTGACTGATGTTGACGTTTGGCTAATTGAAAAACTGTCAAAGAGTTGGAGTTGAGGCAGGCTTTAAGTTTCCTAGCAAATAGCTGCAATAGCTGATAGCTGATATGGTGACCACCATGTTAGAGCTTCAAATGCATTTCCAGAAACCAATGAATGAAGTCACAGAGACTGTCAATAAGTCTGTTGTGGGCCAAACTACTGGTGATTTTGGTGAGGTGAGAGGTGAGTTTGGAAACACACATGCACTATAATGTGCTGCAGTCAAGCTCCTCACTCAGTGGTAGACGGTCAACTATGTGGAGGGATTTAAAAAAAAAAGGTCTTGATAGTTTCAATGCTAGTGAACTGTACTGCACAGACACACACATTTGATTTTGTTCATTGCATTTAAGTCATCATGATTAGTAAATTACGTATCAACCAACATAAGCTTAAATAATATAAACCTTGTATGTTAACAAACCACATATTAAATCCAAACACAATGAAAGAAAAAGGTTTTTAGAAAAGATTTTGTTGTATGGGTTGAAAATGTTTTGAAACGGGAGAATATTGACTGATTACTCAGATTTTTAATTCACAGAAAACTGAAAAGTGATGACATAGTTTTTATAAACCCCAGCTGGAGCCTGCAACGAAATGCCGGGGGAGGTGTTTGGACTGAAAGTTGAACCCAGAACTCGTACAGGGCAGGGGCGGCAATGCCAGAGCAGGGGAAGTGACAGGAAATTTTGCAATTTAAACAGACCACTAAATTGGAAATGGTATGATCATGAGGCGATTTTAGGAACGATGCATGCTGAATGTGAAATCAGCGCAGCTTGCTTGCAGGCATTGCTCCTTGCTCTGTTTCAATAAATTAACTTTTTATGCCAACTTTCAGAGTGACACTGTTTTAGTTGGACATTTGGTCTACTGCTTACAAAGGGTGCATGGTTTATACATTTGGACAAAGTTACTTTCTAATATTAAGCATACAGCCCTTTCTCATAATTTTTTTACCACCAGTTTATCTTCCACAAGGTACCACATCACATAAATTTTTCATGCTTTTAAGGGTTGAAAATGGACAAAACATTTCTTGTAACTGTTTAAAGAAATGGATTGTGAAGGGGTGAGCGTATATAAATCCATAAATCAACTTCCCACAGCGCTGTTGGTGGTGTATAAGCTGCTAGATAGTATTGAAAACATATCACAGACTGGATGTCAGATATTTCAATCTGCAAGGTACAGAGTCAAATCTCAAAGACAAACAAGTACAGGCGTAGTACTGCCCAGGTGGTATTGGTTCCTCCACCTTCCTCCTCCTCTTTTGGGTTCCTGGGACAGCTAAGGGCTGTGCCCAGCAGATCCGGAACACACTGTGCACCTTAATCCATTTCCTGGGGTGTATTAATTTACAGTATTTTCAAGATCATCATATTTAATAAGGCAAGAGCAGCTGGTGAATCTATGTCCATCATGAGAGGACTCTGTGGCAGGGGAACTTAAATCCCTCTAACATCGGGAGGCACAGAGAACGTTATTTATGGTTCAGATATATGTGTTTCTATAATTCTTATTCCCTTTTGCAAAATGTCAAAAGTCTTTCTTGAGCTCTCATTGTATATTTTAAATGCATGTTTTCTTTGTGTCTTGTAATGTTGTAAATGACTTACTGATTTGTTTTTAAAACTATCATGCAATTTCAATTTCTACTCTATTAAAAATGACATTTAATAAATACAATTCCCTCGCCTTGCCTTTTTTAGTATGTATGTATCTAGCATGGCCTGATCCCAACACAATGAGCAAGGTGAACAAAACGTTCAGATCTTTTTAATTATTCATTATAAATAATCATCTTATTTTGCAAACAAAGTGTGGTCAGCTGAGCTGTTTAACATGGGCAGACACTCAGTTCTGAATAATTAAACAGCTGCATGCATGTCCCTAACCCTTTACGAAGAACGCTTTCATTATTCTCTAGACTCTCATTAGATGTTATAATATGCTTTTTGTTGTTTTGTTTTGTAGTTTAACGTTCCATATAACATTAAGACATTCACCGTCAATTTCTTCTTCTTCTCTTATATAACATCTTGATTTCAACCCACACGATCTGCATAATGCATGAAGATGATTCAAGTTTCCTGCACACACATGCATACACATAGCAACATATGCATAAGTACAGACACACACACAGAGACAGATCAAGGTATCTATGATTTCACCTCACAAGCATGCACAGAGTACGTGATGCACACACGTACTCGCACACACGTACTCGCACACATTATTCTGCACTTTTTATTTGTCCCCGTAGATGTGCTGTGTGCATAATCTGTTTTAATAATACATAAAAGAAATAAAGCTACTCATTTCATTATTAACACTTTGGTGCTAGGGGACACCCATGGTTTATTCTACATCATAAGTTGAAAGGCTGCATGGACACATCCGCACTTACTGACTTTCATAGAGATCCATTCACAGATTGTTACATTTTGATGTATGCATATATATTCACAAACACTGATATGATGGCTGATATGCACAAAGAGCAAGCAAGTGACTGGGTGAGGGTGACTGGAAGGTCTTTCATTACATTTGAGTGGTTGTAAATCATTCAGGAGATGATGACGATGGTTGTCTCCTTGTACCTTTAGATCATGAGAGAGAACAACTGGAGACTGTCAGGAAATGGAAGGAGCAGCTGTCAATCAACAGATTATTACAAATCTGATTTCATTATCAGCATGATTAATGACAAAAATGGTCACACATATCTGTTACTTCTCGAGAAAATCATGAAATCGGCATGTCAGTAAAAGATCATGAAAAAGATAACTACTACTGACATCTCAATGTTGGCTATACTTGGCGCTCATAAAAGGAGGAGAAGTATTCTTACAGAGGATTCTTCTTGTCTCTGCTGCACAATGAAGTGATTCATGTAGCAAGATCAAAAAGTCTTGGAACTTTATTTCCTATTGAAAAAGTGCCAAAGTGAGCCAAAAAGTAAAAGTAGAAATGAGCAACAAACTTTTCTGTGTCTCAGACTTGTAAGACTGCAGACAGATTCATGGTTTCGTCACGTTTAGTTACGTTTTTCATCTTCACAACATAAGTGATTTTTTGGAGATATAAAGCATTACATTCTCTGAGCAGAATTGCTGGTCTAGGACTTTTTGAGTTGAGGCAGTTTCACACAAGACATGGATATCTTGGGGAACATATAAGTAACATTGATAATACACACTGAAAGGTTTATAATGGCCACTTGACCAGAAAACGTCAAATAAAGCAATTAATTCATTCAGTGCCAATGACGGATTTGGAAGGTTTTTTTTTATTTGCCCTGAATGCCATTGATGGATTTTGATGGATTTTTCAGTTGTTTTGTTTTCCTCCAGAGGGCGCTCCTCCGCAACATGCGTCCAATTTTGGAGTTATTCTGAATGCAGAAAAGCCGACAAATACGTCATGACCATGTTACAATGACTGAAAACAAGTACTGAGTGAGTAGTGTGCCAATTAGCCGAGTTGTGGAGTGTTTTTTTTTTCTCTATGAGCAGAGCAGGAAAATGCCAAAGTCATTAGCCAAGAGCTAATGGTCTCGGCGCATCAGCTCCCATGGGCGCGGTGGTAATGTCTCTGGATTCAGTAGATATCCTGGTACTGGAACTCCACATCGTCAGCCGACAATCAAAGAAACAATTTTCCAGCTTTACGTTGTGCCGCCAGTGCCGGTACTGGTGAGGGAGATGGAGCCTGAATTCAGCGACAGTCCTGGCGAGGAGGACGCAAGCGTTCCATGTGGTTTACGTCGCGGCGTCAGGTTCTTGACAGCCAATACAACTCCCAGCCATCACAAGTGACCTATCATAATCGGATCTTGAGAGTGATGAGGAGTGGTGTCCGAGGAGGGAGGACCTTGATGCCACCGGTAAAGTAGTTTGAAGTGAAATGAAAAAGACGTAAAAATATGTTTTTCCCAGGTTTCTTTTTCCAGATGGGCAAAGATAATATGACCACGCTGCATTGAGCAGGCAATAACTAAACACAGGAGTGGGTTAGAGGCTAACTTGTTTCTGGTGAAAGAAGAGAATCACTCCTTTCATTTAGGATATTGCACAAGTCTAGTCCAAGCACAAGATATTCTGTAGGTCCTGAAAGATACAGACATTTCTATTGCAGTCAATGGTGGCACTGTGTGAAAATTGCATGAATGAACGTGGCACTGAATAAGTAAAGTAACTGAAGTTAAACATTTATGTGTTTTGTAGAGTAATTGCAAACACGTCTAAGACAGAAGCTTGCCACTTCAAGTTCCTGGCTCACATGCCAAAATGCATTTTGCATTTAAAACACATTGAGATATAGTTTGACAATGTACAAGTCTAAATTAAAAAGTGATGCTAGCATATCCAGCCATATTTTGTCTAGGTGCAGAGTGAGGTTGAGGGCTGAAAGAGGTTGGACTTAGTGACTTGACTATTAACAGGTAATTTTAGGGCCTAACCAATTCCCAGTCCTATAGAGAGCCAGGAGTATCTTTAAACACAGGGAAAAAACAAACAAACATGAAGCATCATCAACAATATGTTCCAACATGGACACGAGTTGACTTGCAGTTTACACAAAGAGGGTGCTTCATGTTAAAAAGATGACTGTGTTGGGTGGAAAACAACGGCACTTGCACTGCATGCCAGGGCATATTTTGTAGGGTGTGCAATAACGTCAACTGATTACAACTATTACAACAAAAGTTGCAGTTTTTAATTAATTTTATATTCCTTAAAAGTGTTAAGTTGTACAATTTCTGAATGACGCAATGGAAAACTTTTGAAGGGCTTTTCTTCTCTCTCCTTACACAATGGTACGGAAAATAGAGCTGTGTACTTGATGTCTACAGTTGTCAAGGCTTATGGGAAATCACCATGGTAACGCTGACAATGTAAATCCCTTGTTTTTGAAACATTTGTTGCGAGTGTGTGCGTGTAACACGCAACTTATCCGCTGGTGTTTATCACAGCTCATTACTACGACAACCTAAAAGTTAAATCCTCTTATGCCGATGAGCTGCATTTATATTTACCCAAGTGCTCTTGGGAGAGAAACCTTGCTCAGAACACAAACACACACATATACAAGCATGCACATACTGATAGGTTACACTCAGTGTTTAGATTTATCCCAATACTCCAGGGAGATTCGAACTCATTATGCTGTGGATATGTTGGCTGGTGAGATGCTTGAGCTGAGGCTAGCGCTGTGAGGCCACCAGAGAGTTTAGTCTTGGCTCCTTCAACGCCTCTGATTTACCCAACTCAGGCAGGGACTGACTCCATCTGATAGCAGTCTGGCCACCAAGTCATTTTGGCGCTGCAGAATCAGACACATTAGCATGTTTTATGCATAAACACATAAACAGAGTCACCAAAGCAGAGGGTAGTACACTTACACTCAGCCATATACACAAACATGCATGCACACACTCAATCATTAGAATGATAAAAATGCAGACTCAGGAGAAATGAGGTTGAGGAGATGAGATGAGATGAGCCGCCTCTGTCATTGCCCACGGGTGTGTGTCTTATGACTAGACTCACAAAGATATTGAACAGCACACACAGACACACAAACACACACACACAGAGTTTTGGCTCATATGAGTGACAAGATGGCACCTCTCATCGAATTGATATCAATATTTGGCCGGAGAGATATTTACACTCCCCTTTAATCAGGGGGAACAGATGGCCCAAGGTCTGTGAACTGTGTCCATCCCTTTAACCGAGCACCAAGTCCCGGCAGTTTCAACATGCAGAGAGAGAAGAGAAGGCAGGAAACAGGAGTAGGAAAGACAGGAAAAGGAAAGGAAGGACATGAACAAGGACAGTGGTGCCCCATTGTTTCACAGCAGACCTGCTGACAATTAGAACAAGCTAATTAAGAGGAGCAAATGCTCTTAATATCAAACTATGCTACAACATCATTTAAACAGTCTTTTAAAAGGGGGGTTAAAGAAACATGTTGTGATTCAGATTTTTGTAGTTTAGGCTCATTAGCAATGACACCTATTCATTCAGTATATTGAAAGCCGAGGGAAACAGCAATACACGTGTGGAGATGTTGTAATTCACACACTGTTTGATGGAGTTGCCTCTTATAAAGAACAATGATCAGCTCTAATTAACTGTGAATATGATAGCATCAAAGCTGTTATTCCCATCAGTACAGTGAAGGGAGAAAATAATTATCAGAATTCTTAATGCTGCATCCCAGTTACCTTGGAAGTCAGATGGGAGCTGGGAATGACGTTACACCCGAGTTGACGGCTTTCCAGTAAACAAGTCGAAAAAACCAAGATGGACACCTACTGTTGGCTGTTGTTAGCTGTTGTAAACAATTGTTAGCTGCCATTAGCCATTGTCAGCTGTTGTTAGCTATACCAGTTGCAAACAACGCATAACACAGTATTTCACTCATAAACACCATAGCACCATGATCACAGTTAGACACTGGGCAGTACAACATACACTCACCGGCCACTTTATTAGGTACACCTGTCCAACTGCTCGTTAACACTTAATTTCTAATCAGCCAATCACATGGCGGCAACTTAGTGCATTTAGGCATGTAGACATGGTCAAGACAATCTCCTGCAGTTCAAACCGAGCATCAGTATGGGGAAGAAAGGTGATTTGAGTGACTTTGAACGTGGCATGGTTGTTGGTGCCAGAAGGGCCGGTCTGAGTATTTCAGAAACTGCTGATCTACTGGGATTTTCACGCACAACCATCTCTAGGGTTTACAGAGAATGGTCCGAAAAAGAAAAAATATCCAGTGAGCGGCAGTTCTGTGGGCGGAAATGCCTTGTTGATGCCAGAGGTCAGAGGAGAATGGCCAGACTGGTTCGAGCTGATAGAAAGGCAACAGTGACTCAAATAACCACCCGTTACAACCAAGGTAGGCAGAAGAGCATCTCTGAACGCACAGTATGTCGAACTTTGAGGCAGATGGGCTACAGCAGCAGAAGACCACGCCGGGTGCCACTCCTTTCAGCTAAGAACAGGAAACTGAGGCTACAATTTGCACAAGCTCATCGAAATTGGACAATAGAAGATTGGAAAAACGTTGCCTGGTCTGATGAGTCTCGATTTCTGCTGCGACATTCGGATGGTAGGGTCAGAATTTGGCGTCAACAACATGAAAGCATGGATCCATCCTGCCTTGTATCAACGGTTCAGGCTGGTGGTGGTGGTGTCATGGTGTGGGGAATATTTTCTTGGCACTCTTTGGGCCCCTTGGTACCAATTGAGCATCGTTGCAACGCCACAGCCTACCTGAGTATTGTTGCTGACCATGTCCATCCCTTTATGACCACAATGTACCCAATTTCTGATGGCTACTTTCAGCAGGATAATGCGCCATGTCATAAAGCTGGAATCATCTCAGACTGGTTTCTTGAACATGACAATGAGTTCACTGTACTCAAATGGCCTCCACAGTCACCAGATCTCAATCCAATAGAGCATCTTTGGGATGTGGTGGAACGGGAGATTCGCATCATGGATGCGCAGCCGACAAATCTGCGGCAACTGTGTGATGCCATCATGTCAATATGGACCAAGCTCTCTGAGGAATTCTTCCAGCACCTTGTTGAATCTATGCCACGAAGAATTGAGGCAGTTCTGAAGGCAAAAAGGGGTCCAACCCGTTACAAGCATAGTGTACCTAATAAAGTGGCCGGTGAGTGTATAGCACTAATGTAATTTCACAAAAAAAAAAAAACAAACAGAAGTGCTAATAAATAATACATTACAAGAGCTTTCACTGTTACTCTTTACTGCTGATGCACTGCGCTGCCATCTTGGTTGTCGTCAAGACGGGGTTGGTGAGGATCCTACAACTTTGGAAATCTGACTTCAGGGGGGCGTTCCAGATTAATTTCCAACTCGGAGCTCGTTAATTCCGACTTCCGAGTACAACTGAAACGCAGCATAAATGCTAGGATTTACCAAAAACTTAATCTCTAATAAATCCAAGAAACACTATGTTTTGCTTATGTGTAAAACCTTGCGTCATAATTAAAGGCAGCAAACCAGTTCAAACCAAAATTTTGCCATCTCCATCTCTTTCATTTGTTTTTGTGGCCTTGAGATCCTTGCAGTGTGGTCTCAGGCAATATCAAGTACAACAGGCTCAGCAGGATTAGAAGTCATCTGAATATTTAACAGAGGGGTCCTAAGATTCTGTTTTGTGTCTGTGTTGGGTTACTCTGTCTTTTACGTATAGGCTATATATGAAAGCTTTTTTGGGGGGATGTAAAGCATTTATTTATGCGTAAAGTTTCAAACACAAAACCAAAATATCAAAGTTTTGCGTACAGCCATTTGACAGCGATGGTACTCCATAATTTTCACACAAAACAGTGATGTCCAGAGGTGCTATACTCCCATCTTTAAAATGACACTAATCATGGCAAAGCATAAACAACCAAAAAAGTAAAAATCAAACAAACAGAAAAATAAAGTTGTCTGAGCCAGTCACTATAAAAACAAGTGTGTACAGAGCAGTGAATCTGAGATATCATCAATTAAAGTTATTACTCTTTAATGGATTTACTTGACCAGCATACTACTGAGTTCCTTACCAGTGTTAGAAAATGATTAGCCAGCATGACTACTGTTTTATTTCGGTTAAAAGCACTCAAAAGACTTATAAGTTTGTTGTCACACTACAAATTACATTACAATCACAAGTAATAGTTCATAACCCATGGTTTGGTGTTCTCTTTTTTTTTTTCTGATTTCTTTGACCTATTTTCTTTCTCTTTGTACTCTGTGTTGTTAGTTTTCTGTGAAATGATTCTGCAAGTCTGTTTTTCACAGGAAGTCATGCCATTATCCATCTGTCTTGCTCACTTCAGTTATAGAACGAAAACAGAAATGAGCCCACATATTACGGTATTAATCTTGACTTCAAATCTGCTCTCTCTCTCTTTCTGAATGTAAGTGTGATTGTGTATGCGTGTGTTTGTGTGCGTATACATGTGTATTTGTGTGTAGTCTGCCCCCAGGAGTTCAAGCTGAAAGAAGAATTTCATGTTTCCATCCTTTTTTAAAGCACCCCGAACAATTTGGGTAGACGGTTGCTTTGAGGTATTTGCTGCTCCACTCACACTCACAAACCAGACCAGACTGATTTCCAGGATCCGCACATGGAAACGAGCACACACCAGCGCATACACACTCATACATTCAAAGCACAAATACTCACACATAGATACAAACACACACTAATCCCAGCTTGGGTGTTGAAATTGCGGTGATACATTTCTATAGAATTGCACTAGAAGGCAAAAATTGCATAAATGCAACTTGGGAGAAAACCTTTTCACCGTTCCGGGGATTAAATCTTCCTTCTAAGCCCAGATCAAATATCTGATTGTTCAGCCTGCCGCTGCTTCAAGATGAAGCAAATTCACACACATGCACACACACACACTGACACACACACTTCGATGATATAGATTAATCCATTTCGTTTTTTGCCAAGTATCCCATATTTTCAACTTCCATCGCAATATATATTTCATCTGTTCACAAAATCCATGATCATTTCCCTCGCTGCTCCAAGACGCTTTAATTGCACAATCTTCAATTAAACATAAGCCAATATCCCTGAACAAAATCCTCTTTGCTTGGTTTAATACAGGTATCTTAATGCCCATACAGAGGAGGGGGTGGTGAAAAAAAGAGGATTTTATGAGGCAGAGAAGATCAGGGTTAGTTCTCATAAAAAAAACTCATGGATTTACTACTGTCTCTTTATTTGTCTTTCTCGGAGCCTTTCTCGTTATCCCTACTTTTGTCACTCTTTATTTGTTTGTCTTTGCTTGTTATTATTTTCTTTTTTTAAATCCCTAACTCATCTTTTTCTTGCCTGTGCTGTTTTTTTTCTGCGCTACCAACACAATATTTGGCACAGAATAATGAGCATGAGCTTCATCTACATCATTTGACCAAGTTGTACCAGAAACATTGAAACTATACCAGACTCTTTATGAGTTTGTGAGTCAAACTCATACACAGAGAGGCAAAGAAAAGAGGGATAAAAAGAGAAAGTTGGTAGATGAATGTGGACTTCGTAGGACCTTACTTTATTACTGGTAGAACAAATGTGTTGCTTATATCTAAATACCCCTCCAGTGTCTTCTAAAAGAACTGTGGGACTTGAAGCCAGTGGTTTAGATGTCTTTGTCTACCATGTGGAGAAAACATTTCTCAATAAGAGGATACCAGCTGCTTACTTAAGGCTGCAGGCTTCAATGCTCAGACATTAAATTAGAAGCACAAAACGCCAAATGGAAGTGTGTTCAGCTCTCATTGCTTTTGTGTTTGTTTTAATGCATAATGACACAACCCATAGTTTGCACAACATATATAATGCCTTTAAAAATATACTGTGGTAGCTGTTGAAGGGAAAGACTGAGTCAGTTTGCCAAATAAGCTTGGATAATAAACGGTACAGCCATTATTTTGTTTGCTAGAGAATCTGACGCTTAAAATTGTTTGAAAACTCAGTATTTTAGTGACTTGCGTTTTATAGACTCAGTTTCTCAGTGTGCTGCAGGCAGAAAAATGTGTGCTGTAACAATAGTTCAAAAATGAACTTTGACTTCAGTAGCTACATTTGTTGATGTCTGCTATACTGTGTATAATGTAACTTTAATGAACAGGGTTAATTGTTGGTCACCAGCTAAGTTTGTGTTTCTTTTTCCTAGTCTCTGGCTACACAAAGATGAGGGGTTAACTACTCTGTTTATGTTCTGATTTGAGGAGATTTTTTAACTTATTATTCTAAAATTATCAATCATGATAACAATTTTCAGGTTCTGTCAAATGCCTGAAAGAAATGTGCCAAATAGACAATGTTGGTTTGACACTAAAGGTTTTCATTACAATACAGTGCTGTGTGTCATTCACCCTGGGTTACATTTCAATAAAAGGCATAACCAATAACACTATGAAACCCTGATTGTTTGTTCTGCAGGTTGATTGAAATTCACATCTTTCATAATATTTTGTCGCTGTATTAGACCGTGACATGATGCAAGGCATGTACAGACTACGCCATGTTTTTATATTTTGACAAATAAAGTCTGCAGGTATAAGCCTGATCAAGCATGCACACACACACAATGTAAATATGACATATAATGCCTACACACCAGCATGAAAGAAAACAAATATTTTTCCACATATAGTATGTACATATACAGGCACATAAATACACCTTAACAGCCATGATACACAGCACCAACAGGGGTGTAACAAGATGGTGATTGGCAGGGAACTGAGTGTCTTGCTGAGAGAAATAATGAACAGGTGCCCAAAGCACAGGCCTCAATTAATGTGTGTTTGCTTGAGTGTTTCAGCTGGGAGCATGCATTCACTGAGATTGCCTGTCTGCACATTTGTGCTCTGTGTATTTGCTTGTAAAGTCTGGGAGAGTACAGCCTTGTTGTTGACAATGAGAGAGGTGACCTAAACGTCCCATTCATACTCCAAACATCATTAGCATGCAGCCAAAACAAAGGTGAAGAGACTATAAAGGCTGTCAGGGAGTCTGAATTAACAACCAGGGTGACATAGTTGTCACTTCGTGGAGGTAAGATTGACAGCCTTTGATTACATTATTATGCATCAATCATGTATTCATCACCATGCACAAGGTATGCCAACAAGTATAGGGAAATGGGTTTTCGCAAAGAGACTTACAAATAAAATATAATCTGGCACAAAACACAAATGGCTAAAAAAAAAAAGAGTCCAAGGACAATTTCACACCTGTAGCTCATTAGTGCATCCTTGAATCACAGACTGAGGCCCCGATTATATGTTCCTGGTTATTTTTAAAAACAGAAACATCAACCATCATTTGCACCCTTCCTTTACACGTAAACTGAGAATTCGCCCCTGAAAATGGAGCTTTTGGAAAACTCTGTTTGCATGTAAACAGAGAAAAACAGAGATTTGGGTAGCCGACGGCAGGTTGTGCGCCTGAAAGAAGTAAGTGATGTTATTGTTGTTGCTGCTATGCGGGATTATGATTGGCTAACATGGGCTTGAGCTTCTCGCTACACTGCCACCTATAGGTTTGGCATGCTCCTGATGCCATATATACACGGGTTAGTATAAACGAAAACTTTTCTGAAAACACAGTGGTGCACACAGTTTTTTTGTAAACGGAGAGGGCGAAATGTCTGTTAATGAGAATGGCCAGGCACGTGTAAATGTAGTCTGAATGTCACTTTGTTTCAAAGAAACCTAAGATTTAATTTGTGTTCACACGAGAAAATTTATAAGTTAACCAAAGCATGTGGTAAATGAATACATTAGAGAAAGTGTACGACTTTGTTACTTGGACCTGAGACAATAAATAAATCAATAAATAAATAAATCTAAGCCACAAATAAATATTAAATCAACACTCAAAGACTGGCACAAAGACTCATGTCTTATGAAGTAACTTTAATTTGTAGTTCAAAATATCAATAATATTTTGAATTGGCACATACTGTATACACACTTAATATTTTAGGAAAAATATGTTTAAGCCATAATTTCGATTTACATTTTTTATCTGCCTTTTTGTGTCTCCTGAAATTAGACCCATAAATCTGTTCAGTTTGCATTTGATTCTACCTGTAATCTGACGATGATCACAACTGTCAAGAGGAAAATGTATGTTTATAACATCAGGTATTAAAATGATCAAAATTAATACGATAACTCTATCAAATTACTTCATGTACAAACAGCTGCACTTAACTAAAACTACAGAAGAAGTTACATCAGGGTTTTTCCTGCGTTCAAAATTGCGTGGCGGCCGCCTCCACCTAATTTTGTGCCGCCCCCAGCCAGAGCGATTGATTTCGCTCAACACAGCGTAAAGCTCCAGCTGTGTTGATTGAGCGATTGATGTCCCGATGCAGCAGCAACGTATTTTAACTGTAGTTGCAGCGTTGCGCCACTATAGGGGCGCTATATCAACAGCAGTGCACCGGAAAGACCTGAAGCATCTACCGAAGAAGAAACGGATCGAATCATGTTTTTTCAAGTGTTTTTCCCGCTAGTTGGTGCTATCGGCGTCCTGATTTTCCCTGGCGGATGGTACAAACAGGTAAATACTGCTTCTCTTTTTTGCATCCAAGCATGTCGTGTTTATTTTAAAAAAAAGTTTACTCCGTTTTTAGCGTTGCAGTTATGACAGGCAAAATCAGCCAGTACTTTAAAAAGCGACCTCGCGAGGAGGAAAGTCAAGAGTCCAGGTGAAACACAGTAGAGATAAAAACGTAACAGGCAGTTAAAATGCTATAATTCATGGTGGAGACAACGTGGAAATTTGTGTCAGGTCTGAAAGTACTTCGCAAGGGACTGGTGATCGCGAGGGTCAGAATGCAGGACAGGACGAGTCGGCGAGGCGAGGGTAATTAATTAATTAGTTTCCAATTAGGAGCATAACAACGCAAAGCCGACGTGTACGTGGTTTTTATTCCTCTTTCCAGATCTTCTCAAAAACACAGAGCCAGTGGCTTTGACAAGCAGTGGCTCAATCAATTTACCTGGCTCAGGCATACTGAGGAAGGCATGCACTGCTATTTATGCCAAAAGCACTGTGCCCCAACACAGCAGGCAATTGCTGCGTCCTTAGTGAGACAGCCATCAACCAACTACAGGCTGGACACATTAAAAAGACATGAGGTGACAGCCATTCACAAAGCAGCAGAAGAGAAGGAGAAATATATTAAAGATGGTAGTACCTAAAAAAACTCAACTAATAAAGTTACAAAAAATAAATAACATAGTTTAGATAGTTTAAGAAATAATTGGTTGTCGTTTTTTTTTAGGGAGGACACTGCAGCGTATACATATATATGATGGAAAACACTATCACTCTTCATGTCTGTATCAGAATAAAAACAAAAATACTTAATGCATGATGAATTGTTTTGTTTAAGGTGAAGACACCTCTGCGGAACAGACTGAAGGAGAGGCACTTGGATGTCTGTTGTAAGGTGGCCGTTGATGGACCAGACCAGGAGGCCTTGGACTACAAGGAGTGCATGAGGAGGTTCTACAGAATGAAAAAGAGGAGGCTGAAATGTTCTGTCTGGTTGCGAGATGTGTGGATGAAGTGTACTTTCAATTTAAAGTTGCCAGCTGATTTGTGTATGTATATAGTTTTAATAAATGAATGCTTTAACATGATAATGGTCACACTCTTTTTTGAACTCTTAACTTAAAGTATGTTGCCTGTAAAAGTAAGTGAATCGGTTGAATTTACAAATACATGCACGTCGTGGCGCACGGTCAGGATGGTGCCACCTCTGCCTCAATTTGAGCCAGGAAAAACCCTGTACATACAACGGTATAGATCCCAAAACAACCCATTCACTTACAAGAGGGACAATACGGTATGTGAGCTCTACAGCACAGTGTGACTATCAGGGAAAAGCAAAAGTAGTGGAGGGTGTGTGTTTTGATCTCAGAGCATCTCACTTCTCTAGAAGAAAAGAACATATATTGACAGGGAAAGGGGGAAAAGAGCCCAGTTGGTTCTCAGGATCCTTGAGGTATGCCTGTGGTTTTTAACCCATAACTGCTGACAGTAGCTGGCTTTGTCCAGAAAATGCAATTCTTCCTGCTTTTAGATGAGATGTAACTGCGCCAAGGTCTGGACAAAAGTGAACCCAACTCCTCCGGTGGTTACAGTTTGGTTGTGTGGTCTGCTCCACAGTTTGATTGACAGCTTTCACACCATTGCAAATGAACTGCAATAACTTGACAAAAAGACTGAGCCAAACATTTTCAGCAGAGTCACATCCACTGTGTCTCTACTTCTCCCCCTTCACCTCTTCCTCTCAACACACTCTTCACACACTTTCTGCTCTATTAATCACTTAAATCCTAATGTCACTGAACTACTGGTGGACTGGCAAAACGAGCTAAATTTCTTTGGCAACCAACACATTACAAATTCTTGTTGGCACCGATGCCCAGGTTCTAAAAGAGAAATAGGGTGTGGGCAAATATTTCATATTATTCATGGCGACTGCTTGTTCAAGCAAAAGCCTCTGAGAAATACTGTCTAGTATGAGTAGCCCGTCTGTTTATGTACACATTAGTGTTTTCTGTGCTTCTACAGAAGGCATACAAGGTCACCTGTGGCTTTATGATTTGCTCTGTCTGTATCTCTATCATAATGAATTTTTAACACAAATCCAGCACTCACCAGAGATGGGATCTGTAGACAGAAAAAAGGACTCATGGCTGGCTGTAAATTATAAATCAGAGATGTCCAGAGACTAAGGACAGAGACGCGGGTTTGTGAGGCACCATATTACATTTCGTAATTACCTCTTTTATTATTTATATTAGGTGCAATCAAAGACTGCGCACACACACATTTGGAGGAAATGCAACATGGGGGCTGTTTTGAAGTACTTAGCAAAAAGGACAAATTGGGGTGAGGGTTTTGAAAATGTTTCGGAAACACACAGACACGCACGCATAGGCTCCCTAGGTCTCCGAAGTCTGATGTTGAACTAACTTGACAGTGGAAGTAAATTAAAGAGGACTTAGAAATGGTTTTGGAAAAAGTTGGTCCCGGGTCTTTATTTCATTACTTTCCCTTTCAATAATCTTGATAACCCATAAGAATTCAAATTACTCTTTTTTCTACTTTACTTTTCCATTTTGGATCTGAGGATTTGGTTCTGGTGTTGAAATGTGTGTTCAATATTGAGTACATTCATTGCCAACCCAGTCTTTTTGGTCTAGTTTAACTTTTGTGGTTTGGATTTGTTTCTAAACAGAACTATTTTACCAACATTATTGAGTCAGTTTGAAATAAAAAAGCTTGTTTTTCTTTGCTTTAACTCAAGAGATGTCATTTCGACATATAAGGGCCAACATGTGTCAAGGCAGCATATATACTGTGTCAGCTCTCAACATTACACTCAGAGTTTTGACACCGAAAGCACAAAGAGAGCACAAATCTGTATGCAACTCAGCAGTTAAATCCAGTCATTACACTTTATGATACAATTTCAATCAATGAGTTGTACAACATAAAATGTCTTTCACAGCTATGGCAACAGGAGAGTTGTGTCCCTATAAGAACCCTACTAACAGTATGAGGTGATAGAAAACTTAAATCACCAGCATAATGGCAGTGTGTTGGCACAGACTTAGTGTGAACTTTTGATTAAAAGCTTGAAAGTTCAGGTCACTGTATTTTCTTACCAGACACATGGAGACTATGAGAAATCCGGATTTCCCAGATACATGAGTCCATGAATAGATAAAGACCATAGAGTGTTAAGGAGGGGGGGGTGTACTTTGGTTTGAACAGGACAGGTAAAGCACTTAAGTAATGATTAAGAAAAAAAACCTCTCTGGGCTTTAAGTCCTCAAAAGGATAAAATAGTAAAAAAAGAACATGAAGGTTCTCATTTATTGCAAATCTTACAACCTCAAGAACTATCTAAGAAGATACATCTCAATGAACTGCATTTAACTTGACACACTTTTGTGGAATGAATAATATATTTAATATTTGAACACTCAGAATAAAAGGCAGGAGGATAAAATAGATAGATTAATAAATAAAATCTTCCTGCATCAGTGTTCCAGTTTGAACTTAATCTGTTGTTTTTGACACACAAGTGACCATATCTGGATAACAGTGCAGTTACTGAAGTTAAACTTTTACAGCAACTCTATTTTTAACCAGTTATCTTGTTGTAGAAGGTTGAGAAGGATTACCCTCACCTTCATCAACTTCAAAAATAAATCAGACCATCAGCAACAAGGTTGAGAGATTCTCACTTGTAATTTTTGATGTCTGGAACCACCAAGAGGGAAGCTGTCAGACCAGATGATTGATGGCAGGCTGAGAAACAAGCTTTTTTTAAGATTATTTTTCATGACAAATACTCATAGTGAGTGATACCAGAATGAGGTTGTTGTCCAAAAACACAACTTTCACTCTAACAGGACAAGATATAAGAGATAACACCAAGTCTGACGCTGTTACGTTCCCTGAAAATAAGGGATGGAGGGAAAATAAAAATTAACCAAGAAAAAAACAAACAGTTCTCTACTTCTTAGCCACTACTACTTCTACTTCTTATCCAATTCTCTACTTCAATGCACTTTGTTGGTGGTCTTTGTGAACAACTCAGTGTGACGATATATGTTTACCATTTTAATATGTGCACCATTGCCACCATTCTCTTTTTTTAATGGTGAAAATAGCAACCAAAGGCACTGTTATGCCTTGGCTTATAAATTAACTTACTGCTCTGCTGCCTGCATTGATCCACAAATTCAAGAAATGGGAATGGGGGGAAAGGAGGCAAAACATGGGGGAAATGTGGTGATATTGTAGGTTTTACTGATGCAGGTGAAGCCAAGTCACAACATTACTTTCAGATCTACAGTATAGCGTCAGTATCTTTACTCTGATATCTGCTGTCCTGTCATTTTCAACTTTTTTAATGATTTAAATAACATTTTAATATTGTATTGAATTTAAGTTGATAAATGCTTCCTCTGTTCCATGTTCTTTAGGGGACTAAACCAAACTGGGACCTAACTAAGAAAATGGGAAGAACGAGTAAAAGGCTGGTGAGCACCGGGTCAGGTACCTACTGTGCACTGAGGTCTTGGGGACCTATCAAGTCTTGGAGACTTGGGCTGAGTGCTGGGGAAATCCGGGTCTGAAAACTTGCATCTTATTTGTAACCTTGTCAAACTTATTTATCTCTTCGAAAAAATGGTTTTCATAAAAAATTTGGTCAAACATGGAACATATGAAAAAAATTATGTTTGCTTTATTGATTTTAAATCATTTTAATATCTTTTTTTTCATTTCCAATACATTTCATTGCATCTGTAAAGTACTCTGAATTGCCTTGTGTATGAATGGTGCTATACAAATAAACTTGCATGCTTTTTTTACTATTTGGGTTGCATAAGGTGTACATACTTGTATAGTATCTCTTTATTTTTACTTATTACCTCCGCCAAGGAGGTTATGTTTTCGGTAGCGCTGGTTTGTTTGTTAGTTTGTTTGTCTGTTAGCAACTTTACGGAGAAAGTTACAGACGGATTGACCTAAACTTTTCACCAGAGGTGCGTCTCAGCCCCAGGAGGATCCCATTAAATTTTGGTGGTGATCCGGCCAAATTCTGGATACCGTGATCCAAGGGTGTTGTTGGAATTTTCAATGCTGAAAGATAACCAATGGGCGGCACAGTGGTGTAGATAGGCGGCACAGTGGTGTAGTGGATCGCACTGTCGCCTCACAACCAGAAGGTCCTGGGTCCAAATCCCGGTCAGGACATTTCTTGTTTTAGGAACATTATGAACAGTGAACACACCAGTTTAAACACAAATAAAAGTCAATAAAAGACACGTAACACTAAAAGTTTTGGTGTGAATCACAATATAAGGGGGGACATGAGCTGCTTGGTGGAGGTCTGTGCTCTCCGAGTGCTTTTCTAGTTTTATCTATAATTTATCTCCTCTTTCTACCTTATTTGCACTGGAGTTACTGTAACAAAAAGCAGTTTCCCCCTGTGGATTATTTAAGTATCTGATTCTGATTCTGAAACTTGCCTTGTCTCGCCTGTAACATCCATGTGTTTTACATACCTTAAATGCATCCCTCTACTAGACACACTGTAACAAAAAATATGTTGCTCATTCTCAGTTCATTTTTTCATCCTGTCACTCTACATGTACACTTAGTCAAAACACTGGGTTTTCTGAACCCATAATTTGTGGCAGATAACAGCTAGTGGCACAGGCAGGTGGCTATTAGTCCTGATAAATTATGAATCAGCTTTATCACGCTGTCTGTCTATCTACTGCTGGAAATAAATTAGCTTTCGGTGGTGGTACATTTGAATTGCACACATATTTTGTATGTAATGAGGTTTTAAAGTGGATGCTGGCCTGTATCCGACTGTTTGTATTTCTTTGATTATGTGAGCGTATGTAAAAATAAAAAAAATCTGTCTTTATGAGTGGTGTGGCTGCCTGTGCCATAGTTAACTTCAAGTTGGAGCTGTAACATTAATGCGAGTGTGTGTCTTTGCTTTTTTAAGGTGGTGAAAGTGATGTTGACAATAACTAGGCCATAATAGCTCTTTCCTTGTGGGGGTATTCTGATTGTGTGTGATAAAGACAAATGAGCTGACAGCAGAGAGCTTTGCTCAAACCACCAGACAATATACACGTCTCCATCCACTTCTTCACTCACACACACACAGACACACACTCAAACACATACACACACAAGCATAACTGGTACGTTTGACTTGTGCTAACTAGAGTCCATGGGAAAAGACCAAGGTAGGCTCATATTAAAGTCCAATTAGAAGAGACAGTTAAAAGCATTAAAGGATAATTACAGCAATGCTGAATGTTCAGCCTGTTTTCCGCCGAGGCCTGTCTCCTTTTCTCTCTCCCTCAGCACAACCATTCACTTTCAATTTTAGCCACAATCAAAACTGCAGCAGCATTTCTCAGATGTCATGCAAAGTGTGTTGATGTAATCTGTAAAAAAACGTTAATGTCCACAGTGTTTTTGTAAAAAAAAAAGTGTCTTATTAAAGCATGACAGTCACTGTTTTGTGAATGACTATCTGCTTAAACAAGATCAGTTTCTAACTCAGGCCTTGGAGCTCATACAGCAGTGTAACCAATACACTTTTGTTCTCCAAATCAAGATTACATTTGTTGTCCTTTTTCACCTATTTCCTTTTTCAGTTTTTTTTTTTATTTTTTTTTTATTACTTTTATTTTTGCACAATGGGTTTCAGATTAGGGGACAAGACCCCCAAACACTGAATATTGAAATATCGGAAAAAAAGAAAAAAAATATCCTAATTCGCTATTTGCCTTGTTAAAGACATGATTTATTATATGGCAAGTGTTATAATAAATGTCATTTTTGGTGTGTAAGCTGATGTAATTTGTGCCACCCCAGCAGAGGTTGGGCCCCCTGATCCAAAAAGGTCTGGACACGCTCCTGCTTGTTAACATGTTCCTCACCTCAAGTGTCTTTTTTTTTAAGCAACAAATGACTCCATGCTGGACAGAGGGTTCTGTTAATGGATCAAAAGGGACTGCAGTGAAAGACAGAGACCCAACTCCGAGTAAAAGTTTGACATCTTGTCAAGGATGTATTTCAATGTAAAGGGACACTCTTACCAGTTAAACAAGTGCGGGTTGCCTATTGGCAATCCTTCTTCTGCCCCACCATCATTGGAAAAAATGATGGCTCAATTCATCTAGATCATAACAAAGAGGAGATTTTCTTCTACAAAAACAAAAAAAAAAAAACAATGCCTCCAAATTGCCTTGGTATTGTAAGTGTTACAGACCTCCTGAGACCCCTTTGACAGTACCCTATAGCCCAGTGGTTCTCAAGTCCAGTCCTCGAGGCCCACTGTCCTTCATGTTTTGGATGTTTCCCTGCTCCAACACACCTGATTCAAATGATCAGCTCGTTATTAAGCCATTACAAAGCTTGATAACGAGCTGATCATTTGAATCAGGTGTGTTGGAGCAGGGAAACATCCAAAACATGCAGGATAGTGGGCCTTGAGGACTGGGCTTGAGAACCACTGCTATAGCCCATAGTATGGAATAAAAGAAAAAGGGGTATCAACTTTTGCTTCAAAATTTAACTTCTTGTGCTTCTCTAAGTTGAGTGTTTTTGTGTTAAAAATGTAGTCACTATCTATCTATCTATCTATCTATCTATCTATCTGTTATTCTGTTTGTTTTCTATCACAGGATGGGGGAAATGTATTGGTATCAAATGGCATCAAATGACAATTGTACAGCTCAATAGCAAGTGCTATCCTCTGGGTAAATTGATATCATCACCAAGGGAGGAAATTGCAATAGGAAGGTAGATAAGGGCACACACATCTGCCCACACGCATACACATGCACACACATACACACACATGGATTGGAGTGATTGCCCACTCCGCTCAACCCTGACCTCCACTGTAATATCAGGTCCTCCTGCCGCCCACTTTCTCACCGTGAGACGTCAATCACAGGGTTGCGTGGCGAGAAGGTTAGCGGCTGTCTGTCAGTTCCACAGCTCTGACTGCCCACAGGCACCCAGCATGTATACACACATACACACACACACACACACACACACAAATGTAAAATCACTCTCACACAACTCAAAATACTCTTGTCTACTTTGTGATTCAAAAGTCTTAGAAAGGTCCCATGTCCAAAACTATTAAAGAGGGGTTATTATACATTTCTTCCAGACTATACACTTCCTTTCTTATCCCTCTTTAATAGCTTTACATGATTATCAGATTCAAAAAAGCTTCAATTTTTCACAACGGTTTATCAAAACACCATTATTTCAGCCTCTATCTTTGACGTCCAGACAGAGCAACTGACGTGTGTACCTTCACCATTTTGAACCAGCGTTTGCGAGGGAGAAAAATAGTGTCTGAGTGGAAATTTTTCGGGGGGCAGAACAAACATCTTGGGCAGGGTCACCAACTTGGAGGGGAGGAGTTATCGCCATCCATGACATCATGGAAGGTGTAGTTTCCATCCACTCATTTGAGCAGACATAAAACGATTCTAAAGTGAATTTTGCGTAATATGGGGCCTTAAATGTTTTGGCTCCGCCCCCTCTATTGTGGTCAAAGCGCACCTCACACGTTGTTGGAGGCACAGATGAACTAGTTCGGGGACACGATAGCAATGAGGTCATTCATTAGCGGGTCTCACTGAGATATCTTGTGATCTTCCGACGTACCCTTTTGAGAAGTTTATGTCTATTTTCTAGGATTATTACAACATCTGTCTATCCCATGCTTTGGAAATTTGCTTATGTCCAGTTTCGACTCCAAACTTTGTAACTTTAGAATTTTGGTTGTATAAGTCCCAAAGTTTAATATTCCCCCTTTAAGCTTCTACAACGCCCTGCTCGCCCTGCAGTCCAAGCCATTTAGATGACATGTACCTCTCAAAAAGAAAAGAACTTTGATATTCCTACTTATTTTCCAATGTATTTTCATCTTATTTGGGAGCTGTCTGTGGCTTTGAGCAAAACTGATGCCACTCTCAATAAACTTCAACTAATACTGCCTGAACTAGACCGCCTTATGTTTTCATCAGGTGTCCTAGTTCAGATTGGTGTCGATGACCTCTTAACCACAGGTCAAGACCCACATGTTCTCATCAGTAGCATTCAACTTACCATTGTGTTTCAGTGTTTGTTCCAAACTAACTAATATGTGATCAGAGGCCAACTGTTGTCCCTGCTTCACTCCACTCCCTCCATCCAGCTAAAGGGTAAGGTCTTATTATTGCCACATCTTCATATCCTCACATTTACCACTGACAATCCTCTCTGTAGCTTGCGCGGGATAGCACTAAAATGGAAGAGCTTGCCAGCGGCTGTGTGGCTCTTGCAATTAACCTCTAGAACTGCAAAGTAAGGGAAATTAGACTTGACTTCAGCTTTAATTACAAAACAGCAGGAAGTGCAGCACAACCACGTGCAGATAATACGCAAACACAACACACACATAGGCACACTCACATGAATATGAATGCCCAAATAACTGGCCAGATAGTCTCTTAAAACATAAATCTAAAATAGACTCAAAAAAGAGGAAATACTCTGCCCTCTTCACAAATATTTGTATGCATATTTCATGTTTTGATTAAGATTTGGCTAACAGTATATCAGCATCTTCCAAGGTTCTGAAAGTATAAATATTAATAAGTG